GTCCTCACATGGCCTTTTCTCCGTGCGTGAGCAGGCGTGGTGGGGTGCGTGTGGAACCTCTCTCTTCTTATAAGGACACTAATCCTTTCAAATTGAGACCCATCCTTATGATCTCATTTCCCTTTAATTACCTCCTAAAGATCTTATCTCCGAATACAGTCACATTAGGGGTTAGGGCTTCAACATATGAATTTTGTGGGGGACATAATTCAACCCATGACATTCTGTACTTGGCCCTCAAATTCATGTCCTTCTTATATGCAAAATACATTCATTACATCCCAGCAGCTTCCCAAGTCTTAATTTATCCCAGCCTCAACTCTGAAGTCCAAATTCTTGTCTAAATATCATCTAGATCAGATATGGGTGAGACTTGAAGTACAATTCATCCTGAAGCAAAACTCCTCACCAGCTGTGAATCTGTGGAACAAGACAAGTTATATGCTTCTAAGATAACGATAATGGGGCGAGTGTGGGATAGACATTCCCGTTCCAAAAGGGAGAAATGTGAAAGAAGGAAGAAGTGATGTGTCCCAAGAAAGCCCAGAACCTAGGAGATAAAAGTCCAGTGGAGTTTAAGGCTTCAGAATACCCTTTATGGTTTGTCTTCCCTTCTGGCCCGCTGAGGTGGCCATGTCACCTCCATGGCTGTAGGTGTGAGTCCTCCCAACAACCCCCTCCCCCGACTCCCAGGCATCGCATGGAGGCTGTCTGGCTTCTGGAACTGAGGCAGTGGCCCTGATTATTTCTGAATCACACTTACGGTAATTTTTCCCTCTTAAAGAATAGTGCGGGCTGGGTGTGGTGGCTCATGCCTGTAATCCCAGCACTTTGGGAGGCCGAGGTGGGTGGATCACCGGACATCAGGAGTTCGAGACCAGTCTGGCATAGCAAAACCCCGTCTCTACTAAAAATGTAAAAATTAGCCAGGCGTGCTGGCAGACGCCTATAATCCCAGCTACTCTGGAGGCTGAGGAAGGAAAATCACTTGAACTTGAGAGGCAGAGGTTGCAGGGAGCCGAGATGGCGCCACTGTATTCCAGCCTGGGTGACAGAGTGAGACTGTCTCAAAAAATAAAAATAGTGCATGTTCACAGCTGAGGACCTCATTGTTTTTTACTGTGAGATCCAAGAAGTCTGACAGCCTTCCTTCAATTGTCTTGTCTCTTCCCCTTCAGTTCAAACTGGCAGTGTTTCTTTCTGTTCCTGTAAGTCCACGAGCATTTTATTAAGTGATGGTCCAGCCACACTTTTGGTGTTCACTTCAGAACATGCTTCCTCGTTTTTCTCAGTATGGGTGGGCTGAGAGTTTTCCAACCCTTTAATTTTTGGTTCCCTTTTGCCTAAACATTCTTCTTCTAATTCATCCCTCTCCCAGGAGGAAAGAAGCTGCTTTTTCCATGTTTGCTCAGAAGTATGCTCAGCTAAATATCCAGTTTCATTGTTTGCAAGTCCCACCTCTTGCAACACAGCAGAGCACAGTTTAGTCCAGACTTTGCCACTTTATAACAAGGATCAGTTTTCCTCCAGTCTCCAATACACGTTCCTTGTTTCCATTTCAGACCTCACTAGAATGACCTTTAATGCCCATATTTCTGGCAACATTCTATTCACGGCAATCTAGACTTTTTCTAGCATTCACCTCAGAAGCTCCTCTAACCTCTACTCAGTACTCAGTTCCAAAGCCGTTTTCACCACTTCTCAGCACCCCACTTCTCAGGACCAAAATGTGCCTTATTCAGCTTGGGTTGCCATAACAAACACCATAGACTGGATGGATTCGCCATGTTTCCATTTATTTTCTCCCAGTTCTGGATGCTGAAAGTCCGAGATGGGGGTGCTAGCATGGGCCGGCACTAGGAAAGTCCCCTTCCTGGTTTCAGATGGCCACCTCCACGCTGAGCCCTCACATGGGGCAGAGCGATCACACGGGAGAATTCTAGTCTCTTCCTCTCCTTATAAGAACATCAATCCTATCCGATTAGGACCTCAACCCTATGACCTCATTTTTCTTAATTACCTTCTAAAACCCCTATTTCCTAATAGAGTCACACTGGGGCATTGGGCATTAGAGTTTCTTGTCTTCTTTTTTTTTTTTTTTTTTTGAGAAGGGTCTTGCTCTGTTGCCCAAGCTGGAGTACAGTGGCTGAATCTCAGCTCACTGCAAACTCTGCCTCCCAGGTTCAAGCCATTAGCCACACCTGGCTCATTTTTGTATTGTTGTAGAGATAGAGTTTCACCATGTTGGCCAGGCTGGTCTTGAACTCCTGACTTCAACTGATCCACCCACATTGGCCTCCCAAAGTGCTGGGATGACAGGCATGAGCCACCACACCCAGCCCTAGAGTTTCAACATACAAATTTGTGGGGCACACAATTCAGTCCAGAGTACTGTCTAGAAGAAGATTTAAACCTCTTCCAGCACTACCCAGATGGGTGCTCTGCAAATGCATGGTCAACTGAAAGATGTGGAATTACAGAGCCTCCAAGGAGTTGTTTTTATAAGCTCTGCTGCCCCAGCTTATGGGATTGCTGAGGTCTCACAACCACTGGGAGGGCACACAAGAGTGAACAGGTTTCTGTGGGAGTGGGACTAAAGGGGCTATCTCAGCTGTATCTATTAAAGACCCGCCTCATGGGGTGAGAATGTCGTGAGGCTATTGTTCAGCCCACCTAATTTTTAATGCTAAGAACAATAATAACTATTCTGAGCATTTGGATTTGTTAAAATACACACACACACACACACAGAGTGAGGACTGTGAATTGTGTAACTGGCTATATTGTCTGTGATGCACTTGGTCAGCCACCTAAAATGACAGTGTAGCAGCCACGTGGTGGGCATTGCTAGCCTCATTCATAGATCACCTTCATGTTCCCACTCATGTTTTTCTGTCTTTTCCCTACCTACTTTTTCTTTGAGATGGAGTTTTGCTCTGTCATCTAGGTTGGAGTGCAGTGGTACAATCTTGGCTCATTGTAACCTCCGCCTCCTAGGTTCAAGCGATTCTCCTGCCTCAGTCTCCCAAGTAACTGGTATTACAGGAGCACGCCACCACACCTGGCTAATTTTTTTCTATTTTTAGTAGAGACAGGGTTTCACCATGTTGGCCAGGCTGGTCTTGAACTCCTGACCTCAAGTGATCCTCCCAAAGTGCTGTGATTACAGGTGTGAGCTCCCACGCCCGGCCCCCCACCTACTTTTAATTCATGCATTCTTGCTGTATTTTAGGTGCCATTCAGGTTTCCAGAATTCCAGAAATCTTTTCAGAGCATGGTTAGGTTATACACACTTTAGCAATGTTTTTTTCTGACACAGAATCTCATGCTACTGCCCAGGCTGGAGTGCAGTGGCATGATCTCAGCTCACTACAACCCCTGCCTCCTGGGTTCAAGCGATTCTCCTGACTTAGCCTCCAGAGTAGCTGGGACTACAGGCATGTGCCACCATGCCCGGCTAATTTTTGTCTTTTTAGTAGAGACAGGGTTTCACCATGTTGATCTGGCTGGTCTTGGACTCCTGACCTGGTGATCTGCCCGCCTTGGCTTCCCAAAGTGCTGGGATTACAGGCGTGAGCCACCATGCCTGGCCTACATATACTTTAAAAGTAAATAAAATTGCTCACGCATTCCCTGGGAAGGGCCAACAGTTTAAATGTCAAAGTCGAAGAAGTACGATAAATTCATGTCTGAGCCTGGTGTGGGGTTAAAAAAACATCTCTCTATCTCTTTTTTTTAACTTTGGTTTTAAGTTCAGGGTATATATGCAGGTTTGTTATAAAGGTAAACTTATGTCATGGGGAGTTGTGCAGATTATTTATCACCCAGGTACTAAGCTTAGTACTAATTATTTTTCCTGATCCTCTACCTCCTCCCACCCTCCACCCTCCGATAGGACTCAGTGTGTCCTGTTCCCCTCTCTGTGTCCACTCGTGCTCATCATTTAGCTCCTACTTATAAGTGAGAACATAAGGTATTTGGTTTTCTGCTCCTGGGTTAGTTTGCTAAGGATAACCGCCCCCAGCTCCTTCCATATCCTTGCAAAGGAATGATCTCGTTCTTTTTTTATGGCTGCATAGTATTCCATGGTGTTTATGCACCACCATGGTGGTTTCTTTATCCAGTCTACCACCAGTGGACATTTGGGTTGATTCTATGTCTTTGCTATTGTGAATGGTGCTGCAATGAACTTATGCGTGCATGTGTCTTTATGGAAGAATGATTTATAGTTCTTTGGGTCCTAATCCTTACAATAAGCTTAAAAAATAGCTATTAAGATAAGAGAACTGAAGGTCATGGAGATTAAATAACCTGTCCAACTCTGGGGTTGGTGGAGCTGGTGTTCAAATCCTGGTCCATCGGATGCTGTAATAGAACCTGCACCCTGTTTCCCCGCTTCCACGATGGAGGCTAAGTATCTGGAAATCCAGTCCTGGGGAGGGACCAGGAAAGGCAGAATCCAGAGGTGAGACAGAGTCCTGGAATGAGGGAATTCAGGGCTCCCACATGCATCTGGGAACCACAGACATGAGGTTCAGCATCTGAGGTGAGAGGCAGCTGCAAGGCCACTTGCACTTCTGGCAGGTATGGGGGCCTCAGCTGGCCAGGCCAGAATGTGGGGCCAGGCTCCAGGCCAGAAGTCAGCTACTGTGAGAGTCAGAAGCCCTGTTTGGGCGCTGGGGGAGGAGGAAAAGATGAAGCCTGGGGATCCTACAATGCCCTCACGTGAATCACCTGCACTCTGAGCCAATAAAAGCCAATAAAATAGATCTGGGACTGACTTCTGGGATCACAGTCGGGCGTGGAATTCCGTTCAGCTTGGTGAGTTCTGATGCAATGTCTGACATGTAGGGGGTGCTGGGGAACAGAGAGCCACCGGCCCAGGACCTGACGTGGGGAAACTCCCTGTTCCCTGAGGGCCGAGGAATCTGAAATGGGATCTCTTGAGGCCTGGAACCTCAGGTTCTAGTAGGATTCACATGCACACATTTCTCTTCCAGGGCCATGTTCTGCAATGATTTAAAGGAAAAGTATGAGAAGAGGATCGTTATTAAAGGGGTTGATGCTGAGACCATGCACACTCTCCTGGACTACACGTACACCAGCAAGGCACTGATCACCAAGCAGAACGTCCAGCGGGTCCTGGAGGCTGCTAACCTCTTCCAGGTGTGTGAACAAATTGGCTCAGTGCTCTTCTGTGAAGCAGGTGAACGCCGTAGTTCTCCAGAAGCCAGGCCTGTGCCTGGGACAGGACACACACACACACACACACACACACACACACACACCCGCTAGCTGGGCTTGTGCTTACTTGAAAACTAGAAGATGCTCATTTGGACATTTCCTGAGAGGTGATGAGATGGGGCACTGACTCCTCAGTAAGATGAAGCCAGGGGAGCTTGGTGCCCAGAACCTACTCTGGGGCCCTGACTCTAAAAACAATGACTGCAATGTGCAGAAGCTTAGCTGGGGCCAGTGGCTGCGTCCAGCACTTCCACACACAACTTCTAATTCACAGCATGATTTGGGGAGGTGATTATTTTCCCCATTTTACAAGTGGGAAAAGGAAGGTGCATAGAGAAGAATTGGCAAGGCTGTGACGTGACCCCTGGGCTTACTGAGTGCAGGGTCCACATGCTGGCCGCCACACCACGCAGCCTCCTAGGCAGCAGGATCGAGGTCCTGGGGGAGGCAGGACCTTGCGTGGTCAGCACTTGGTGGTGGCTGTGAAAGGTCATTGAGAAGTAAGGGTGTCATAGAAGGTGAGGGAGAGACCCATAGGATTAAGGTTTATTTTACAATCATGTGTATTGCTTCCATTCAACAATGTTTGCTCCAATCTGATTATAATAATTAGATATAGCTTCATAAAAGATCCATAGATTATGTCAGTTGCACCCACAGTTATCACAGGGATCCCATCCCAAGTTACCATCTTTGTTTAGGTCTGAGATTACACCACTGAACCTGATTCCACTGGATGAAGGCAGAGATTGTTGCATTGCCTGGATGTTGAGACTTATGCAAATCAGGGTCCAGGGATAGGCCAGGTCATTTCCAGAGACCAGGGCACACATCAGATCTGGTCCATGGTTTGGGATTTGGGGAGGTAGTGTCCACTTGGGTCATCAACACATTTGGGAGTTGAGGGGAGTGGAAAGTCAGTCTGGAAAGGTAGGGAATGAGGGGTCCAGGGTCTAAGACCATTGGCCATGGGGTTAGCTTTGTTGAGGCTGGAGTCAGGGCAGGATTTATGAAGTCTGGCAAGGAAGGAGGAGTGGACAAAGGAAGGAAAATCAACTGTGAACAAAGCTCTGATGCATTCTGAGTGAGGGGTTGCTGCAATTTTAGTCAGTTTCATGAGTTTAATTTCCCCCAGGACATCTTAACGATACAGAGCAAGTGTCTCTGTAGACACCCACACACCCATGCCCTGTCTTTTCTCTGTCCTCACCTGCTCACACCCTCAGCCTCATTGACAGGAAAACATTCCTTATTATGTGAAGAAGGGACTCACTCAGCAAGTTCATGTCAGCAGCATCCTCATCCCCTCCTTAGAATGCCACTACTCCAGCAGTCTAACTTCAGGGAAACCCTTTCCATGTCAGAGGATATGGGTTTTTTTTCCTCCTAAACTTTCTAGAAAAGGCAAATATCCCCGCTCTTAACTGCCTCCCTGGAAAAGGCTCATACCTGGAGCGGAATCACCCCATTCACCGTTGTTTAGTGAAGCCACAGCTGCCATTAATATTTTCACGCTAATCTTTACCGGGGCCCAGAGATGGTTGCTACCATGTAGCACTGACAGTAATGATAGTAATCGCACTTGCTGCTTTACGTAAGGTTTTAACACCAAAGTAGATGCTCAGTGAATACAAATTTTATTCAGCGCTTATCCACATGCCTTGAGTAACAGAGCTGGGACTAGTAGCCAAGTCTCTTGATTTTCCCACTAGCTGAAAGCAAGTCTTACACAATAAGCTAAGGAGAAGTGCTTTGGTTTTCAAAATCCAGTTTTTAGTGTTTTTAATTGGAATAGCATTACAAACTTACTATAGAAAAGTCAGAAACCCATACAAGTAAAAAGACATAAAAATTACTACAGTTCCTTCCTTTCCACAGACAATACAGCAGCTTCTTTGGTGTATACACTCACGGGTCCTCTCCTGTGCACTGACACAGACAGAGGCAGCTGGGAGGGTGGTTAATGACACAGCTTTGGGCTCAGCCTGCCTAGATTTAAATCCCAGCTCCACCACTCACGGTGAACTTTGCAAAAGTTTCCTAATTTCTTTGTGCTCCGGTTTCCTTTTTGGTAAACAAGGATTAAAATAGAGCCCATGACACAGAATTGTTGTACTACTTATGGAATGTTTAAACAATGCTTGGTGCATGATAAATGCTATATAAATGTTTATAACATTGCCTATTACATATCCTTTAGGAAAATAGTGTCCCATTAGATACACTGTTTTTTTGTTTCATTTTGAGACAAAGTTTCTCTCTTGTCACCCAGCCTGGAGTGCAATGGCACAACCTCAGCTCACTGCAACCTCCGCCTTCTGGGTTCAAGCCATTCTCCTGGCTCAGCCTCCTGAGTAGCTGGGATTCCAGGTGTGTGCCACCATGCTCGACTAATTTTTGTATTTTTAGTAGAGATGGGGTTTCACGATGTTGGCAAAGCTGGTCTCGAACTCCTGACCTCAGGTGATCCATCTGCCTCCACCTCCCATAGTGCTGGGATTACAGGAGTGAGTCACCCACCCAGCCTGGATACACTGTTTTAAATCTATTTATTTTACTTACATTGTAATCATTTCTCATGCTAGATGCATTTCTGTAATGACAGGTTTCTGTAATGACATAATAGCTTAATGGAATCCAATAATATAATAATTTAGTGAATCAATTTCTGTGGCTAAAAGTTTAGGCTGTTTTCATGTACTTGACTATTTAAAACAATGTTTTCATAACGTCTTTTTACTTTTATTTTATATGGATGAGATAAATGTCCTAATAGAAATAAAATGAACTAAGGACATGAACAGGTAATTTACCAAAGAGGAAGACCAAATAGTACATGAATATATTTTTAAGTGCCAAACATCATTAGTAATCCAAAAGGCACATTGAGTCAACAATAAAATAACATTTGTGTATTATTTTGGCCAAGAGTGTGTACAATATGATGTGCAGTGTTTGCAAAGGTGAAGGAAAACAGAGACTTCCATTCATTGCTGGTAGAAGTATACATGGAAATCTCTTTCTGGAAGTCGCCTTGGAAATAGATGCTAAAAACTTTTAAAATGTATATGCTAAATAAATAAGTACAAATATGCAAAGTAGTTCATATATATAGTTTTGTAGTGGGTTGGATTGTGTCCTCTAGAAAGGCACATCCACGCCCCAACCCTGATTGCAGTGAGTGTGACCTTATCTGGAAATAGGGGCTTTGCAGATGTAACTGAGTTAAGGACCTCGAGATGAGTGCCTATTGGATTTAGGGTGAGTCCTGAGTCCAGTGAGTGGCGTCCTTATAAAAGAAAGGAGGGGAGATTTGACACAGAGACACAGAAAGAAGGCCATAGTTGCCAAGCTTATGTTAATATGTTAATGACAGTCCTAGGAGACTCATAGAAGCTTAAAAAGTCAACAGTCGTTGTTCCCATGTCCTCTTCCAGTTCACTCTTCTGGGGCAATTAATTTCACTTGTGTTCGATATTTCTTTTATTGACTTCTGTAGTTCTGAATGACTTGTGTACACTGCTGTCTCCTGATGCCACGATTTTAGATAACTGATTCCCCTTTGTCCTCCTCTCTCTGAACTGGCTGCCCTCCAGGTCCTTTGCCCAGCTGTCACCCTGGCTCTTTCCTTTGCTGTTATCCTGGCAGTTCCTTTTACCTATTTTGCATGTAAATTTTCTGTTCTTGGATCCCATCTGCAATGGACTGTATATTTGTGTTCCCCTAAAATTCACACTAGAATCCTAACTCTGAATGTGATGGTACTAGGAGACGAGGCCTTTGGGAGGTAATTAGGTCAAGAGCATGGAGCCTTTGTTACTAGGATTATTGCCCCTATAAAAGAGGCCCAGGTGATCTCTGTAGCCTTCTTCTGCCATATGAGAATACAGCGAAAAGTTGACCACCTGCAACCTGGAAGATGCCCCTCACCAGAACCTGACCATTGTGGCACCCTGGACCTCCAGCTTCCAGAACTGTGAGAAATAGATTTCCATCATGTATTACCCTGTTAGTCAATGGTCATCTGTCATAGCAGCCTAAACTAAGTCACCACGTCTTCTTTCTTGTACATTCCTTCATTTTAGTGAATCACAACCTTTAACAGCTTACCATAAAAGAGTATGTGGGAGATGAATTTTTGGAGACTTTTATGTCTAAAAATGTCTTTTTTCTACCTTTATACTTGATTGATAGTTTGAGTATAAAATTTAAGGTTGAGGCCGGGCATGGTGGCTCACGCCTGTAATCCCAGCACTTTGGGAGGCTAAGGTGGGCAGATCATCTGAGTTCAGAAGTTTGATCAGCCTGGCCAACATGGCGAAACCCTGTCTCTGCTAAAAATACAAAATGTAGCCAGACGTGGTGGCAGGTGCCTGTAATCCCAGCTATTCAGGAGGCTGAGACAGGAGAATCACTTGAACCCTGGAGGCAGAGTTTGTATCGAGCTGAGATCATGCCATTGCAGTCCATGCTGGGCAACAAGAGCAAAACTCTGTCTCATATAAATAAATAAATAAAATGTAAGGTTGAAAATATTTTTCTTTGGGCATTTTGAAGGCATTGCTTCATATTACCTGTTGCGTATCTTAGAAGAACGGGTTCCTATTGGATACTTGGTTTTTAACCTGTTTATTTCCACCTGTACTGTATTATAATCTTTTAAAATGTCCATTGATGCATTTCCGCAATGGCGCTTACAATAGTTGTGATCTTTTCCCCATTCACGTGTTCGACACAATAGGTTATTGCAATTTGGAGACTCGTGTCTTTCAGTTCTGGGAAATTTTCTTGTATGATCTCTGATTCCTTCATTTTTCTCTTTATTATCCCTTCCGGAGCTATCGTTGGTTAGGCGGTGAACCTCCTGGACTTATTTTTATTTTTTTGTATCTTCTGTCTCCTACTGACCTCTCTAGCTTTTCTGTTTTATTTTCTAGGTGATTTCCTCAACTTTGCCTTTAAACTTTTCTGCAAATTGTTCATTTCTGCCACCATAGCCTTAGCTTCTAAGAGTCTGTTATTTTATTAGACTCCTAATCATTATATTTGAAGTTTCTGTCTGCTCTCACTCTTCCTTTTGCATTTCTTTACTCTGTGTGCTTAGGTCGCCAACTTCCAACTCAGAGCATGGATCGGTTTCCTGGGGCTGCTGTAGCAAATCAGCACAAAGTGGGTGGCTTCAAACAACACAGGCTTATTCATTCAGAGTTCTTGAGACCAGACGCTCACAATCAAGGCATCATCAGGCCTGCACTCCTGCTAGAGGCTCTGGGGAAGAAGCTTTCCTTTGCCTCTTCCTGTTTCTGGTGGCTGCTCGCATTCCTTTGCTTGCGGCTGCACCACTCGGATTCCCGCATTCGTAGCCACACTGCCTCCTCGTCTGTAGGTGTTCTCCTCTGTGTGATTTTTATAAAGGCATGTGTGATTACATGCAGGGCCCATCCAGATCATCCTGGGTCAGCTCCTCCTCTCAAACTTCTTACCTTAATCACATCTTGCGCAAGTAATACCTACTCTTTTGCCATCGAAGCTAATGTTCACAGAGTCTCAGGATTATGACATGGACGTATCTTTTGCGGGGTCACCATTCAACCCATTACAGTAAGTTTCTTCAAATACCTTTTTGATTATTTGATCCTTGGCTGTGGAATCATGTTTAAGATGGAGTTTGATGCTTGGTGCACAGGGACTAGGGCGAGAGGCTAGAGAACTGGGGGATTTTAGCAGGGCTGTCGGGTAGCTTGCCAGTTTTTTTGTAGGGGAGGATTCCCAGAAGTTTGTGTTGATTGGATTTTTTTCCTTAGGTTGTTCAGTTTCTACAGATAAGGATCTTCAGTTTCTTGCATGGGGATAATAAGGCAGCTGTGTTGTATCCTGGACTGGGTGTGTGAGCGTGGATGCGAATCTTTACCTAACCCCTTTTCAGTATGATGTCACAGGTGTCTTCCTCCATTCTTGGTGTCCCTGAGTCTATCTAGAACCTTTTCTGCTGCCTTCTCCAAAGAATAATCCGTCTTCTCCAAAGAGCGTGGGAGTGGAATTGTTGGACTGCTAGAGGTGGGGGGTGGACAGGAGGTTGAACTTCTTAAACCAACTCCCTGCTACCAGCCCCACCTGCCATTTCCTTCCTGCTTCCTTGAGACTTCACTATTCCCGCTGTTTTGGTCTGTGAGATGCAAACCTGTTCCTCTTCAGGCACTTGATCCGACCTCCCTCCTCTCAGCACAGTCACATGCCAGCTTCATCTTCTGCGGTCTGGGGTTACTGAGGTCTTTTGGTTTTATCGAGGGTGGTGTTTATGTTTCTGTTTTTCGTTCTCCTTTCAGTTTTGGGTGACATTTCAAAAGAGCTAGAAAACCTTTTTAAATAATAAAGACTGTAATCTTTTGTAATGTATGTTTCAAATATTTTCCTACTAGTCACTTGATCCATCATTTTTAAATATAGCTTTTTTAATGTACAAAAGTTGAAAACTAGTATTTAGTCATAGCTATTGATCATATCCTGGAAGACTTTTGTCTTCGATGTGAATTTTTAGCTTTCCCCATTGCTTAATCATATCCTTATTCACTTATAATTTCATTTTGTCTTGTTATGTTTACAACATTAATTTTTTTTTTTTGAGACAGAGTCTTACTGCAATGCCCAGGCTGGAGTGCAATGGCACGATCTTGGCTTACTGCAACCTCTGCCTCCCAGGTTCAAGCAATTCTCCTGCCCTAGCCTCCCAAGTGGCCAGGACTACAGGCACATGCCACCAAGCCCAGCTGATATTTTATTTTCACTAGAGATGGATTTTCACCATATTGGCCAGGCTGTTCTCGAACTCCTGACCTCAAGTGATCTGCCCACCTGGGCCCCCCAAAGTGCCTCAGCCTCCTAAGAGTGCTGGGATTGCAGGCGTGAGCCACCGTGCCAATCCAACTTTAATATACTCAGAATCACTTAGCATCAAGTATTTTTATTATTTTTCTCCACTCCCCTGACACCCTGCCCCATTTTCATTTATTTTCTCTCAAGTGATGAACTTCCATAGAGATGTTGGTTTTAATGAGAAAAGTAGGAGATGACAGACACAGCACAGAGGCAGGGCAAGCTTTATTTATTGTTAATTTCCCTATTCTGGTAATCCCTTGCCTCAGAAAAAACCCAAATCTCTTTTACTTTCTTGACAAAAATTAGTAAGTTTCTCTCTGAAGCAATTGTACTCAGTTTCCTTATGAGTGTTAGTTCTAGAGAGGCCAAGGTCCCCTGTTCCTTAACCAGACTGTCAGGCTTCTGCATCATAGATAAGCAAGCCAGCCCCAAACTACTGACCTGGACAATGACTGGAAGGACTTGGGCAAATTTCTCCATCTTAAAGGAGAATGATTTCTTAATCAGGGCACTGCCATGTTTGTTTAAGAAATTTGCCATGTGTGTTACTTTTATTTTTATTATTAAAAACTCATGAGGCAGGGTGCTGTGGCTCATCCCTGTAATCCCTGAGCTTTGGGAGGGCGAGGCAGGTGGGCCACCTGAGGTCAGGAGTTCCAGACCAGCCTAGCCAACATGATGAAACCCTGTCTCTACTAAACACACAAAAAATTAGACGAGTGTGGTGGTGCGCACCTGTGAGTGGACATCCTGCTTTGTTGATGATGAAGTTATTTCTTTCTGTTTCTTAGTTTTCCTTCTAACTGTTAGGCCCCTCTGCTGTAGTACTGCTGAGGTCTGCTCCAGACCCTGCTTGCCTGGGGATCACCTGCAGCGGCTGCAGAACAGTAAGGGTTGCTGCCAGTTTCTTCTTCTGCTATCTTTGTCCCAGAAGGATACCTGCCAGATGTCAGTCTGAGCTCTCCTTTATGAGGTGACTCTTTGGATATGTGGGGGTCAGGGAGCTGCTTGAGGAGACAGTCTGTCCTTTATAGGAGCTCAAGTGCTGAGCTGTGAGCTCCCTTGTTTCATTCAGAGTTGCTGGGCAGTACATTTAAGTCTGCTGCAGGAGAACTCATAACAGTCTTTTTTTTCCCAGGTGCTCTGTCCTGGGAAGGTAGGGCTTTATTTATAAGTTTCTGTCATGCTGCTGCCTTTTTTCAGGGCTGCCCTGCCCAGCAAGAAGGCAGCCTAGTCACTGTCTGCTTGTAGAGGCTTTGCTGAGCTGCTGTGGGCTCTGCCCAGCTGCCATGTAAACTTCCCTGCAGTCCTGTTTATAGGGGTATGGTTAGAACTGCCTCGGCAATGGTGGCCCACTTCCATAATGGCGAACTCTCTCCATAATGACAGACTGCCTTGGCAATAGCAGGCTGCCTCTGTAATAGCGGGCTGCCTCAGCAAAGGTGGACTGCCTCAGCAATGGCAGACTACCTCAGTAGTGGTGGACTGCCTTGGTAATGGCGGATGCCCCTCCCCCATAGAGCAGGACTGTCCCGGATTCAGCTGTGCTTGCTGTGAAACTCTCAATCCTGAGCATTTCAGATTGCTGCTCTTTGTGGGGATGGGACCGGCCGTGCCTGATCACCTGGCTCCCTGCCTCAGACCCCTTTTATTTCAGTTAAACGGGTGACTCTGTCTTCCAGGCATTCCAGTCACCAGTTGAAATGGTGCCTGGATTGCGCTGGGGGCTCGTGGCACTTTTTCACCTGGGAATCTCCTGGCCTGGCTTCCTGTTTCAGTCCCCTTTTTTTCAGTTGAATGGGGGACTTTGTCTCCCAGGCGTTCCAGTCGCCAGTTGAAAAAGCACCGGGATTTGTGTGAGATTTTGTGAAGAGACCCACTGCACTGGCTGAAACAGCCACACTGGAGGTGCTTTCCTGCCCAGAATCTCCTGGCCTGGCTCCCTGTTTCAGTCCCCTCTTTATCAGTTGAATGGCGACTCTGTCTCCCAGGTGCTCCAGTCACCAGCTGAAATGGTGCCCGGACCCATGTGAGTTGTTTTTGTGCGAAGACCTGCCGCGCCTGCTGAAACAGCCATGCCAGCTGAAACAGCCGCGTTGGAGACCCATGGCGCTCCTCTGCCTGGGGAATCTCCTGGTCTGTGGGCAATAAAAATCCACCGGGAAATGCCGCGACCACTCACCCTCCGTGCTCTTGCTGGGAGCTACAATCCTGAGCTGCTCTTACTCGGCCATCTTGGATCTACTGGTGTACACCTGTAATCCCAGCTACTCAGGAGACTGAGGCAGGAAAATCGCTTGAACCTGGGAGGTGGAGGTTACAGCGAGGCACCGCACTCCAGCCTGGGTGACAGAGTAAGACTCCGTCTCAAGAAAAAAAAAAAACAAAAACTGCTCAAGACCCCAACAGAAATTACTTGGTCTCCTTCCAGGGGACACTAAGAAGCCCAGTCCTTGCCTCCAGGGTGGGAAAAGCTGGCTCTTGCATTATCATCCATTCTCCCCCGTCTCCTGTTTCAGTATAAACTTTCTGCCTAGACTCTTGAGAATTCTGACTTTTGAGGCTGAAAGGGCTAGGTTCTTGCCACTAACTGGTATTTCTTTCAAAACCTCTTTTCTAGTGTAAGTTCTGAAAGCCTATTTAGAAACTCAGAAGCCAAGAGTGATCTTCTTTTGTCTGCTCTCTCACGCTCTCCTGAGTAAGCCTGTACTCAGTTGCTGCCTATGGCCCCTGAAGTACAGGAAGTGGGGTGCGGGGTTTTAATCGTAATGAAAACCCATATTGCTACCAGAATCTGACTTTAACTGCTCCTAACAGCCATAAGTTACTAAGCATGTTCTAAGTGCAAGGAGATTTGTGAGAATCTGTGAGGAGAAAATAAAGATTATAAATGTGGAGTACAGATCACACTTATGTAGCAACTTTGTCTCCTCCATATCTCATTTGATGTTGACGATGACTCTGTGGGTTAGCAGGCTGGGTAGTACCCTCACAATCAGCCTGCAAGGTGGGTTTTAGGTTCTCAGCACTTTCCAAAGGAGAAAACTGGCTGAGAGAGAGACGGGTGGGGGTGGGGTGGAATTCAGCTCATCATGTGGTGGAGCTATGGGTGGGGTTCTGCAAGAAAACCCAGAACCTCCAACTCCATCTATCCACTGTCCGCCACTATCCCTGAAAGATTCTCAATGAGCCTCCAGCCCACTGGACAAACCAAGTAGAGCCCAAGGCAGAAAGGAGGGGACATTGACTTGGATGTCATGGAATGGGTGGCAGTAGGATGGGGAAAAAAGCATTCCAGGCAGAGAGAACCTGGAATACTTGTTTCAGCCTTCCACACCCGCGGCTGCCTGCATTCACAGGCTTGCTTCTCAGCGCTTGGCTTCTGCTTCCACACCTGCCCCCGTGCCCTCCACACACATACCCCACACCCTGAGCATCAACCATGTTCCAGATACAATCATTCCACCTCGTCTTTACAACGGTGTTTCTCCCTGGTCTTTACCTTGTCGCTGGGCTGAATCACTGTGCCCCAGCCATACCACCTGCCCCTTGAATATGTGGCTCACACGTACTGCCCGTTGTGCTCTGCTAGCCTGCTGGGGCCACCACTGTCGCCTCTGGAAACTCAGGGGATGTTTACTGCTTGAATCTTGACTACGCTGGCCACATTGTGGGTCTTTTCCCTCTGATTCCACTTCTGAGGTCAGTCCACTTCCACAGTTGCCTCAGCCCCCACACCTGCCCTGCCTTAGTGACAGGTCTTTTGCAGGTCTTAGTTCCTCCCCTTTCTGCCCACTCCATGAGGCTTCCAGGAACCAGCAGATTTCTCAGCCAAATCTAGAGCAAGGACTGAAAGGAGGGAGCAGAGGACGTCCTTCCTGGGGGCTGTGGGGCACGCTGCCATAGGATTGAGACTAGAGCGTTGGCTGGGAGAGGGGAAGAGAGATAAGGAGGGAAGATTGGGATCAAAGGTAATTCACAATTTCTTAGCATGAAGACCCCTTTTAAACACCAATACAGACCTCACAGGAGAGGAGCTTTACTTTTACTATCTATTGCCAGAGAAGAAAAGTGTTGACAAAAATTTACAATTGGCCAGGCACAGTGGCTCACACCCATAATCCCAGCACTTTGGGAGGCCAAGGCAGGTGGATCCCTTGAGGCCAGGAGTTTGAGACCAGCCTGGCCAATATGGCAAAATCCTGTTTCTACTAAAAATATTACACAAAAATTAGCTGGGCATGGTGGTGCGAGCCTGTAATCCCAGCTACTTGGGAGGCTGAGGCACGAGAATTGCTTAACCCAGGAAGTGGAGGCTGCAGTGAGCCAAGATCACAGCATGCACTCCAGCCTGAGTGACAGAGCAAGATTCTGTCTCAAAAAAAAAAAAATTACAATGAATTCAGAAAAACTTTGAAATAAATTTAAATTTTATTAATCTCATCAACTTGCCCTTCACACACGCTGATTTGTCAGAGCTGAAGGTGAGAATATCAATGTCCTTATAGAACCTTTGCAATAACTCCAAGGCCACTTGGACACCATGATCCGTGGAACTGCTGATGTAAACTAAAATGGGATTTCAGTGATCCTGAAGTGGATTTGAAGGCACCTTGTGGGAGACGTGGAGTCACATGGGTGAAGCCCCCTAGGACCTCAGGTTTTGGAGAACATCAGGGAGAAGCAGAGGACAGTGGAGGTGAGGAGCAGGCAGTGCGTTCTCTTGGAGGCAGACGCTTCTCAAGTGTTTCCTTTGTTTGTATTTTTAGCCTCCCCATCTGAGAGTCAGGTGCCTGGCTGCAACCTTTTGCTCACATGTCCCCCCAAACAGGAAGTTGGCTGTCTTTCGCCATTATCTGTCATCTCGCAGCTCTAACAAACAAGTTCGTGTGTCATCGGGACAGGCCGAGACAGAAAACTTAGTCTTGAACAAACTTGAATGTGAAACAGCAAAAGCATAGTCTGTAATCCCAGCACTATGGGAGGCCGAGGCAGGCGGACCACGAGGTCAGGAGATTGAGACCATCCTGGCCAAAATGGTGAAATCTCGTCTCTACTAAAAATACAAAAATTAGCTGGGTGTGGTGGCACGCGCCTGTGATCCCAGCTACTTGGGAGGCTGAGGCAGGAAAATTGCTTGAACCAGGGAGTCGGAGGTTGCAGTGAGCCGAGATTGCACCACTGCACTCCAGCCTAGCAACACAGCAACACTCCATCTTAAAAAAAAAAAAAAATCCATTTCTGGTTCCCACAATTGCCATGCACATCAACAATTTCCCAGCCATTTGTTGGGATGACGTGATGCTGCCCGACACCCCTCACACTCAGAAGTGTTTATTAAAATATATTTTGGGAGAATTTTGGCAACTTGGAGATCCCCCACCTACCCTTGTCCTCATAAAGCCTCTTCAGACCCCCTGGCATTCTGTTAGCTCAACAATGCAGCAAGTTACAAAGGCAGTGCGATGCTGACTGGAGCATCCCCCGTGCCACCTCCTACCAGTGCGAACGTGCACAGCTCTTCACATTCTTTATTCGTGCTTCTCTACAAATGCTAATTCTAACACCTTCCCTTTTTTACCTGTTAAATAAAATAGACTTGTTAAAAATAAAATGTTAGGTGAAATCAGGAATGGGAACGTGTCTAGCACAGATGTTGGTACCCGGTAGGCGATACATATGTCCTTCCTCTGTCTCTCTCTTCTTTTGCCAGGCTCTGTGCTAGATGCTGCTAGCATTATTATTGTGAAATAAATACACAAGTATGACCTAGAAGCTGCTTTGAGATGCTTGTCTCAGCTGACCATAGTACACGACGGAAATGCTCTGGGTGCTCCACAAATGGGGCAAATGAGGTCCCCAGTGGAGCACAGAGAAGAGGGATTCCATGTTAGAATCACTAGGAGAAGCCATCAAGGACTCCTTGGAGAAGGCGAGGAGACGGGTGTGAACGTAGCTGGGTTTCTGTCGGGGAGAGTCCTGGTGAGGACTGACAGCCAGACTGTGGGAGATGGAAGGGTGGGAGTGGGACCGTCCCTGGTTTCAGGTGGTGGAATCCCTGGCCTTGGGTGCGCAGCCTTTGTCTCCGCTGTTCCGTCGCACTCCGTGTTGTATCACTTGGTTAGCATCTGCTGCCTCCACTAGTCTGCCGGCTTCAGTGAGCACAGGCACTTTGTCTCTGCTCACCTCTGTACTCCCAGCACTAGTTGGAAGCCGCCTATGTAATATTAATAGATGCTCGCAGCCATAAAATGAATGAGTTCATGTCCTTTACAGGGACATGGATGAAGCTGGAAACCATCATTCTCAGCAAACTAACACAGGAACAGAAAACCAAACACCGCATGTTCTCACTCAGAAGTGGGAGCTGAACCATGAGAACTCATGGACACAGGGAGGGGAACAACACACACCAGGGCCTGTCCAGGGGTGGGGGGGCAAGGGGAGGGAGAGCATTAGAACAAACACCTAATGCCTTTGGGACTTAAAATCTAAATGATGGGTTGATAGGTGCAGCAGACCACCATGGCACATGTATACCTAGGTAACAAACCAGCACCTTCTGCCTGCACGTGTATTCCAGAACATGACGTAAAATAAAAAAGGACACATGCTTGATTCACATTTGGTCCATACACAGGTGGCTGGAGGGTCAGCTGACAGGTGGAGAGAAGAGAGACGAGTTTGGGTCAGTGCTTCTGACAAACGTGAGCCTCAGGACTTGATTGGATTCTCCTCTGTGGTTTTCCTTCTTTGCTCATCAATAGTCATCAAGCAGAACTAGGAATTGGCTGGTCCTTTCTGTGCCGGGGCAGATCAGGTCATCTGAGCTACCCAGTGCAAATGACATTTGGCGTCTGGCAAGCCTTTGGCCGCCACACGCGTTATTCGACCTGAAGCAGCTTGAACAATAGTATAAAAAACCTGCGTTTTTGGAATCAGAGATGACTGGTTCAAACTTTAGTTCTATCTTTGATTAACTGTAAGTCTCTGAGGAGATTAGTCCTCTGGCTCTGGCTTCCTCAGGGATCATAAGAAACTCCTCTTTCACGGTGTTGCGGTGGGAATCAAGTAACTCTTAGTGTGTAGAGTCTGGCCTACAGTTAGTGCTTAGTTTTTACCTTTTATTTTTTCATTGTGTCCTTTAAAATCACAATAAAGTGTTTATTTTATGTATTTTTTTCCTGAGTTTACAATGTTCATGCTCAAGTTTAAAGCTTGGTCATACAGTAAACTCACAGTTAAAAACTTTATAACAACTGCTAGCATTTTGTATGTTACCTTCTCGTATTCTCTCTATAAATGAGAAAATTGGATGGGAATTACAGGTGTGAGCCACTGTGCCTGGCCTCTGTGACTTTATTCTATTGTTTATAAAAATAGGATCATAATGTACATATGATTTGTGAAGTGCTTTTCTCATTTTATCCACAAATATTTCAGTTGTGTGTCAAAAGATAAAGATTCTTAAACACAAACATAAAACCATTATTGCACCTAAAATGAATAATAAACATTTCATTATCACCAACATAGGCAAGATCACTGTTATCAGGTCTTGTGCGGGCTCCCAGAGATAGTCTAAGTACCTAGACATATCTATTCAGTTTTTCCCTCATGCAAACGCTGGCACGATGGTCGTGGCATTTTGCACTGGGGGCTACCATTGAAGTGAGTTTCCTTTCAGCTCGCATAGACGTCTCTGTGAACAGGGCCAGATAGGGCTCTGGTGTCCGGTTCGGAGGGCTCAAGGGGCTTGGGCTTGATTGCATGTTTTTACTCTTTGAACTGAAAAATCTGCTAACGACCAAGCAGGTGTTAGCAGCCTCAGTCTCAACCGTTTCCATGGTTGCTCATGCGAAGAGCAGAGCTGCCGGCGGTAGAGGCCAGCAGACATGGGCTCTGAGGCAGAATTCGGGCCTTCTCCAACTTTGCATTGACCCTCTAAGAAATGCTTTTATTATTTATTTATTTATTTTTGAGATGGAGTTTCACTCTTGTCACCCAGGCTGGAGTGGAATGGCGTGATCTTGGCTCACCGCAACTTCCACCTCCCAGATTCAAGCAATTTTCCTGCCTCAGCCTCCTAAGTAGCTGGGATTTCAGGCACCTGCCACCACACCCAGCTAATTTTTTGTATTTTTCGTAGAGACGGGTTTCTCCATGTTGGTCAGGCTGGTCTTGAACTCCCAACCTCAGGTGATCTGCCTGCCTTGGCCTCCCAAAGAGTTGGGATTATAGGCATGAGCCACTGTACCCAGCCAGAGAAATGCTTTTTAAACTGTCAATTCTATGTGGTCTGACACAGAAAATATTTTGCAATAGAGATTGATCCAAAAAGTCAGGGATGTGTTCCCTGGCATGCTCTGGAGTAAAGTCCAGAGCCTGGGTCACCTTGGTCCACTCTTAGAACCAGTCCTGCCCACCCTCAACCTTCAGGCTCCATAGCCCCACTCCCCCCCAGCTCCTGCCATCCCTCCCCAGTTAGGTCTGTACCATCCCTACTCTCACCAGAACCTGCCTTCAGAAGGCCTCCCCCACCAGGTCGTGCCTCCTTAGCCTCCCTTTTCCTCTCCTCCCATTAATCGATCAATCCATGTGCACCAAGAACTTGACCCTATAAGGAGTCCAGTCGACAGGGAAGGGAGCTAGGGGGCTGAACTGTTCAAAGCTAAGCTCTAGAGAACAACAAATAAGAATGAACCAATGCATTGGAGACACCTCATCTTTAAAATGGATATTAAAAAATACAATGCATATAACAGTGCTTTGTCATCTGTAAAGTGCTGTACAAGCATAAGGGACTTGAATTTTTTTTTTTTTTTTTTTTGAGACGGAGTCTTGCTCTGTCACCAGGCTGCAGTGCAGTGGCACAGTCTCGGCTCACTGCAACCTCCACATCCTGGGCTCAAGTGATTCTTCTGCCTCAGCCTCCCGAGTAGCTGGGACCACAGGCATGTGCCACCACGCCCGGCTAATTTTTTTGTATTTTTAGTAGAGACGGGTTTTCACCGTGTTGGCCAGGATGGTCTTGATCTCTTGACCTCATGAACCACCCAGCCTGGCTGGGACTTGAATTTTTATGAGAATGCTGATAACTTAAAAATGGGATCTGACAGCTAATCAATAATTTTATAAATTAATTTTTAATGACAAAAGTGGTACTTACTCATCTTAGAGTATATAAATAAAATATATAAATAAACCAAACTAGAAAAATTCTCATAGTCTTATTAGTGTGTTGTACCTTCTGCTATCTGTATAGTATATTCCCTGTCTATCCCATGATACCTGTTTCTCTTGGAGAACTGTGGTTCCCTTGATGACAAATTTTGCCATGTAACTTACTCTGGATGGTTTTGCATAAATGAATGTAGCATGTGCCCCATCTGAGCAGAAGTTTTAAAAGCCTTTGTGTGGTTCTGCCATCTTTTTCCCCCTTCTGTCATGAGACCAGCATATCTCAGGTAAGGGCTTTTCCACATTCCTGGGCCCTGGAATGAAGAGCCCTGGGAAGAACACACATGGTGTTTTCCACAGTCTGGATTTTGCTGATCGTGTTCCCATGGCATCATTTAGCAGGTTCCTTTCCTCTGTATTTCCCATAAATTGCTGATTAAATGTAGCGTCTTAATCAGATCCAATGAACAGATTTTAAAACTCAATACATTATAAACATTTTCCATTTCATTTAATATTCTCCTACCATGTGTTTTTTAAGTGTCTATGGCGCTGTCGACTGTATGAACGTATTACATGTGAGAGAGAAGCATTTATTGTTGTAAGCCCCTGAGATGTGGGGGTTGCTACTACAGAATAATTTGCCTTAAGATACCTGATAACCTATATCCTTTAGTATTTTTTCTATGACTTTATTCTGTATGTTTTCTTTATAAAAACAGAATCCTCATGTACATACGATTTGCAAAGTGTTTTTCTCATCTTATCTGCAAATATTTCTGTTATATCTCTAATAAGGATTCTTCTTAAACATAAACATGAAACCATTATTGCACCTAAAATGAATAATTGTTGCATTATCACCAAATATTAGTCATTGTATACATTTCTCCAACTTTAAAAAAATATATATATATAGCTTGAATCAGGAATCCAAATAAAATCTGTACTTTGCAATGGGTTGACGTGTCTTAAATCTCTTTTTATCTTTAGGTTCTCCTTCTCCTCTCTCTCTTTTTTCCCCCTTGTAATGTTTTGTTGAAGAAACTGACCAAGTTGTTCTGTCGAGTTTTCCAGTCTGGATTTTGCTGATTGTGTTGCCATGGCGTCATTTAGCAGGCTCCTCTTTCCCCTGTATTTCCCAAAAATTGCTGATTAAATGTAGAGGCTTAATCAGATCCAATAAACGGATTTTAAAACTCAATACATTATGAACATTTTCCATTTTGTTTAATATTCTCCTACAACATGCGTTGAAGTAACTGTAGAGCTGTCAACCGTATGAATGTATTACATGTATTTCAGTACTGTTGGACAAATGTTGTTTCCCATTTTTGGCTACTACACCCAACTCACTGATAAACCTCTTGTGGACTCATCGTTTTCTGCCTCCTTTCTGCCCTTTCTATTCCATCAGTTTCTGCGGATGGTGGATGCCTGTGCCAGCTTCCTCACTGAAGCCTTGAACCCAGAAAACTGTGTTGGAATACTGAGGCTGGCTGATACACACTCGTTGGACACTCTAAAGAAGCAGGTTCAGAGTTACATTGTTCAAAACTTTGTGCAGATTCTGAACTCTGAGGAGTTCCTTGACCTACCCGTGGACACTCTGCACCACATCTTGAAGAGTGATGACCTTTACGTGACTGAGGAGGCTCAGGTATTTGAGACTGTGATGAGCTGGGTCCGGCACAAGCCATCAGAACGACTCTGCTCACTCCCCTACGTCCTTGAGAACGTGCGCTTACCGCTTCTGGACCCATGGTACTTTGTGGAGACAGTAGAAGCAGATCCTCTCATCAGGCAGTGTCCAGAGGTCTTCCCGCTGCTCCAGGAAGCCAGGATGTACCACCTTTCTGGCAATGAGGTGAGTCAAAGATAAGGGGTGCTATATTTAACCAGCGAAGTGAGGAATTAGCTAGGGACTCATAGAGATGCAAGCAAAGTGGATTCAAAAGTCCTTAGGGCATTAAGGAGAAAACACTGCCCTGCTCATTGATGAGTCAGGCAGTTCCAGAATCCCTGATTCCCGATCTGTGAGTCCGATCCCATGTGTTCAGACAGTTACTGAGAGGATTAGGTGAGATGTAGAAATCACTCATCACCACGCCTGGCCCATGCTTCCTCTTCCCAGTTGTTGAAGGGTGGGAGGTTGGGGGCCACACTGCACACACAAATAAGAACATGCCCTGGGCCAGGTGCGGTGGCTCACGCCTGTAATCCCAGCACTTTGGGAGGCCGAGGGAGGTGGATCACAAGGTGAAGAGATTGAGACCATCCTGGCCAACATGGTGAAACCCCATCTCTACTAAAAATACAAAAAATTAGCTGGCCATGAAGGTGCGTGCCTATAGTCCCAGCTACGGCTACTCGGGAGGCTGAGGCAAGAGAATTGCTTGAACCTGGGAGGAGGATGCAGTGAGCCAAGATCGCATCACTGAACTCCAGCTTGCTGACAGAGTGAGATCCCATCTCCAAACAAACAAAACAAAACAAAAACAAGAACGTACCCTGTCTAGTCACTATTCCATGGGGGTCTGCTCGTCCTTGCCCACTCTGATGAAAACTTGCATCTCTTGGATTTGGACTCTCATCATCTAAATTTCTGGAAATTTCTCAAAACTCATCTCCCTGCCCCACGTCTAGCCTCTCTCCAATTTATTCACCAGCTGGAATATCTGAAACCCAAGTCTGATCCTCCTGCTCCTGGGCTTGCTTTCTTCACTGGCTCCCCATCACCTTCAGGATAAAGCCCATACTTCCTGCTGGTGTTCCCAGAGCCTGGTCTTGCCTCATTAACCTCCCGCCTGCTTCTTCAGCATCCTCTCCCCCTCCCGCTTCTGCTGCAGTCCTAATGCCCTGCTTGGGGTTCCCCAAAGTAGATGTGCTTTTTCTGCCTCCAGGTCAATACGAGTGTTGTTCAAATGCTTTTCTCCTCTTCTTCATCTAGCTGACTTCTACTACTTCAAAACCCAGTCCACGCATCACTTTCTCCAGAGACTTTTCCATTTATTTATTTATTTTAGATAAGGTCTTGCTCTGTTGCCCAGGCTGAAATATAGTGGTACAATCACTGCTCACTGCAGCCTTGACCTCCCAGGCTTAAGCAAGCCTCCCACCTGAGCCATCCAAGTAGCTGGGACTATAGGCATGCACTACCACACCCGGCTAATTTCTAAATTTTTTGTGGAGACAAGGTCTCACTATGTTGCCCAGGCAGGTCTTGAACTCCTGAGCTTAAGTGATCTTCCCACCTCAGCTCCCAAAGTGCTAGGGTTGCAGTTGTGAGCCCCACACCCAGCCACTCTCCATGTTTTCACAGCACTTGGTGCATTGCTCTATCAAGCACCAATTGCTGCACGATAACCATTTGAAGTTATCATCTGTAAATATCTCTAGACTGGGAGCTTGTTATAGCAGGAAATAAGTCTTATTACACTTTTCATCTCCAGATCTTAGGAGAGTTCTAATACTGCTATACAGTGAATCAGTAATTGGCAAATGCTTGTTGAATGATTAAATGGGTACTACGAATGGTGAATAAACATATCATTTGGATCTACCTGGTTCTCCTTAACAATTCTTGAAGATTTTTATTCAGAACTTCATAAAGACAAGTACGAATTTAGTGGAGAGGAAGTAATGATATAGGAACATCTTGTTAACAGTGTGTACACATGAACACTCATGCCTCACTATGCAGTGGTTCTGGGATTCGGTACCAAGCCTCCTTCATTAGGCCATTGGTAGAAGCCTCAGCCAAATGTGGCCCAGGGATTGTCTGAGTTTCTTTTGGAGCTTCTCCCTTTTTCTGTGTGTTCTTTTCTAATTTTTTTGGTTGTCTTTAGAGGCACTGTTCATTCATTCACTCTGCAAACATACCCTTAAATGTGTAGTAGAATTTGCCACAGCCTGGTGTTTTCTTTGTGGAAAGTTTTAAAACTTTAATGAATATTTATTTAACAGATATAGGACTATTTAGGATCTCTGTTTCTTCTAGCATGAACTTTGATAGCACCATTTATTTACAGTGTAACCTCAGGCAATTACTTAGCTACTCTAAGGCCCAGTTCTGATCTGTAACATGGGATAATAATACCTACCAACTGACAGAACTGTTTTGAGAATTAAGTAATGAATGGAATGCTCAGTACAGTGTCTGGTGCATGCTAAGTGTCCCACAAGTGGAAGCTATTGTCATTGCCATTGGATCCTTTATCGTTGCTTCATCTCTCACAATCATTTTTCTTCTCTGGGGCTAAAATCAGTCTTTTCAGTGTGTCCCAGGATTTTGCAGCCTTATTTTCCCAAATCCTTCTCGAGGTGATGTCTCATCCTCATTTTATAATTTGGGCAACTGAACCAACCAACCAATGACCAAGGCCTCCCAGTTGGGGTCTCATTGCCAGTTGATTCCCTGGGAATCCAGTCTGCTCACTGCGGGCATGGCCTTGGGTTGACTCCTGATGGCAGCAGAGTAAGCCTGAACACACTTCTCCCCCTACCCTTTAGTTACCAAACTTTAACCCTCTTGTCTTATCATCATCTTTCTTTTTTAACCTTGCCTGTCCTCTACACGGGTGGTAACAATGGGAAATTTCAGAACACCAAAAGCAAATGTCAATCTCCATTTGATTTGGGAGTGGTAGCTGAAACCTTCATTGAAGAGGTCTTTGGGGACAGAGGAAAGTTGCCTCTTCACTTAATTGCCTCCTACGTTTTCAGACATGAACTTGGTCTATGGCAAAGGTGACTCTGATGTGTGTGATATGGAAAAGGGGGCAGAGGCTCCAGCCCAATGACATCTTTGCTGAAACAATATGATCACTCTGTCCCCTGTACAGGATCTGCAGAGAGTGAGCAGGCACTAGGGTGCAAGTACCTGCTCTGTTTTCAACAATCTGAAAGTAAACTGGTTATGCTTGATTGTTGCATGCAATTCACTGGCAGACACTTCTCTGTCTGCAACAACCTGGCACGTCTCAGACTTCAGACTGACATTTGTTATTGGTTTTTAATTTTAATTATTTAATTTTAATTTTATTTATTTGTTTTTAATATTTTGCCAAATGTAGCTGAACTTACAATGTGGTGATGGTGCCACCACTTGGCAGTTCTGTGGCGCAGAGTTCTAAGGCAGGTCTCATTACCCCATCCAAGCCCATCAGCTAGATGATTGTTATTTATCAATTGCTGCATAACAAATTACCCCCAAACTGAAAAGTTTAAAATAACAAATACTATCTAACAGGCTCTGAGTGTCAGGAATCTAGGAGTGGTTTAGCCCGGTGCTTCTGGTTCAGGGTCCTTTAGGAAGTTGCAGTAAAACTGTTGGCTGGGGCTGCAGTAATCTCAAAGTTCCAGTGGGATTCAAGCTCACTCACTGGACTGTTGGCAGGCATCAGATCTTTGCTGGCTGCTGGTTGGGAGCCTCAGTTTCTTGCCACATGGGCATCTTAACAGCTGGCCTCCCCCAGAACAAATGATCTAAGAAAGACGGCAAGAGTAATCTGGATGCAAGCTGGACGTGCCTGTTATAGCCTCACTTCAGAAGTGATATATCACCACTTCTGCTGTGATCTGTTGATCATAGAGACCGATTCTAGAACAGTGTGGAGGGAACTACACAAAATGTGAATACCAGGAAGCAGGGTCACTGGGGCACAAGATGTGAATACCAGGAAGAAGGGTCACTGCGGGCCATTGTGGGTGCTCACTACCACAATGGTTTAGACTGAGTTACCTCGCTTGCCCATTCATTCACTCCTCCATTCACTTTTTGTTTTATTTTGTTTTTTGAGAGGAAGTTTCGCTCTTATTGCCCAGGCTGGAGTGCAATGGGTGCAACCTCAGCTCACGATAGCCTCTGCCTCCTGGGTTCAAAAGATCCTTCTGCCTCAGCCTCCTGAGTAGGTGGGATTACAGGTGCCCATAACACCCAGCTAATTTTTAAAAGTTTTTAGTAGAGTCAGGCTTTCACCATGGTGGCCAGGCTGGTCTTGAACTCCTGACCTCAGTGATCCACCTGCCTCGACCTCCCAAAGTGCTGGGATTACAGGCATGAGCCACTGCACCCAGCTCATTCACTCATTTAATCAGTGTTTATAGATGTCCACAAGCTCCAGGTACTATTCTTGGTGCTGAGGATCCATTGGAGAAAAAGGACCGTTCCTGCCATCAGGGTCTTACAATAAATTACAATGAAGCATGAACAGTGCCGTTGTGGGGAAACTCAGGGTTATGGGAATGTGTGCAAATAACTCAGGGTTATTAGGAATGGCTTCCTGGAGAAAGGGACATGTTACATGGTAAATTACTCACCATGCCTTAAAGGCTAAGTGGATTGGGGTGGTAGCATGGGGAATTGAGAATAGAATATTATGGGGAGATCCAGGCAGCAGGCAGGAACCCAGGGATTTCAGTCAGCAGGAGGAGAGCCTTTCATTGGTCAGGACCAAGGAACAAGGTGCCAGCCTTGGGGGTCAGAGGTAAGACCATGGCTAGTCCAGTTCTCCTAAGCGGCCTCTCAATCACCCAACAGGTTACTGGGGCAGGAAAGCAGGCATTGCAAATAAGATGGGGGAAGCTTCGGAGTGAAGGCCGAGGCCTGGTACCCAGAACGGAAGAAAGGGTCACAAGGGAATCCATTCTGGGAGGCCCGTGCTGTTTTCAAAGCATTGCCTGCAACACCTAAATCCCCTCTAAAAGAGGACCAGATTGGTGCTGGAGGCTGTGCCTCGGCTGTGGGGCATGGGGTTTAGGGACAGGAACCAGGGCTGATAGCTGGAGAGAAAGTTGCAGAGCAGCCACGCTTGGCTTTGGCGCCATTGCCCAGACCTTGTCCTGCCAGCTTGGTGCTCTCATGGTGCCTCCAGGTTCCCTGACCCCCGCTCCACCCTTCCCCCAGTACCGTTGGCTGTCCACACCCTAGCCCAGTCCATAGTCTGGGCTTTGTCCCCCAGCCACACCCATCCCCACTCTGCTGACCTGTAAGGAATAGCCGCCACAGATGTTATGGCCATGGTCCAGCCTCAAGAACTGAGGATGCAGAATTCACTGTACCAGGCTCCGAGGTACAGAAAGCTGACCAACCGAACAAAGACTGTTACAGCAAAGTCGAGGCTGGGAGTCGGCTGGTCTGATCATTTATGGCTCCAGGTTGCATTCACTACTTGAGGGCTCAGTGTTTGCTACTGTAACCTATTTATCACCACCTGTGATCAATAGAAACGGTGACTGCCTCTCTGCATCCCATCAGCACTCCTATGGAACCTTCACCATGGAGCCCAGGGGGCCAATGGAACCAGGGAAGGGCAGCTCTTCCTTTTATAGCAATATCAAGATGGTACCTGCCACTGCTCCTACAGGCCTGACTGTCTGTTGAGGAGCAAGTATGTGCTGGGTGCTCTGCTCACACCTCCACCTCATGAATGCTCACAATCATCTGGGAGCAGAGAAATGAACAAGCAGTTTACAAAGGTTGTGTTGCTTCTCCAAAGCCACATGGCCATCGGTGATAGGACCCTGGTACCTCTGACTTGCAAGGCTGTGCTCTTTCAGCGGGGTCCAAATGCCCACAGCATGGATGTCTTCACTTGTTGGAAGCTCTGCGAGACCATACACTGTATGTTGGAACCAGTCTTCCTACCTCCCTGGCCACACCCCGATTCCTTCTAGTTCTTGTTTCCTGAGTCTCTGAATGCTCTATGTGTCACTGTCCAGAATGTTTCTTCCAGAAGGCTGACAGGGAGCAAAGTCTGAGATCTCATCAAGAAATTAAAGGCAAGGGGGAAAGTCCAAAATGAAATTCCAGGATTTTAGGTTTCATACCAGACAGGAGAGGAGAGGCAGGAAGTGCCTCTGATGGTATAGACCCTGACCTGTTAAAACAGCAACAAAAACAGGTAACATTTATTGAGCACCTGTTATGTACCAAGCCCTGAGTGAAGCATACTACATACATTATCCCACTTCATCCTGGAAACACACCTACGAGGTACTTATCTCTAATACCGCATGATACAGATGATGAAACCGAGGCTCAGGGAGGTGAAGTCACGTGGTCATGCTGTGGCAGGTGTGGAAATTGGAGCCTGCTCCTATTGGCTTCGTGGCCTGAGCTCTGAAGGACAACATTGTATTGTCCTGCCTTTATGAACCCTTATTGATTTCCAGATCATTTCGGAGCGCACCAAGCCCAGGATGCACGAGTTCCAGTCTGAGGTGTTCATGATCATTGGCGGCTGCACGAAGGATGAACGGTTTGTGGCTGAGGTGACCTGCCTGGACCCCCTGAGGCGCAGCCGCCTGGAGGTGGCCAAGCTCCCACTAACAGAGCACGAGCTGGAGAGTGAGAATAAGAAGTGGGTGGAGTTCGCATGCGTGACACTGAAAAATGAGGTCTACATCTCAGGTAAGCCAGCCCCCAGTAGCACTAATGTATGTTGCTGAGTGGCAGCCAGGTAACCATCCTAGAAGAATGACTGTGACTTGGCGATGATCTGGCTCTGAGTAAGACAGGGTATGGACCAAGGAGCTCAGGTGGTCTTATCTTGAGGGCACATTGCTACTCAATAAACACTAAACTGTAAGCAGCATTGCACTATTGTTTTTCTTTTTTTTTTTTGAGATGGAGTCTTGCTCTGTCCCCCAGGCTGAAGTGCAGTGGTGTGATCCTGACTAGCTGCGACCTCCAACTCCCTGATTCAAACAATTCTGCTGCCTCAGCCTCCCAAGTAGCTGGGATTACAGGCACCTGCCACCATGCCCAGCTAATTTTTGTATTTTTAGTAGAGACAGGTTTCACCTTGTTGGCCAGGCTGATCTTGAACTCCGGACCACAGGAGATCCACCCACCTCGGCCTCCCATAGTGCTGGGATTACAGGTGTAAGCCACCTCGTCCAGCTAGCGTTGTACTATTAATAGAAAACCTGGAGAGGAGGCAGACAAGTCTAGTCCTTCACAGAAAAGGAAGAGGGAAAGTGATCAGGGGTTTATTCAGTGTCTGCTATGGGCATAGGTCCCTGAGCTACACAGTGGGAATTCAGTAATGAGTAAACACATCTGCTCTGCCCCCAAACCGGACCCCTCCCATGTTAATTAGGCTGTAACGGGGTATACTTCAGCAGGACCCAAGGCTTTTTCATTAGGAACATGTTTGCTTAAGTACTGATGGTGACTTTATGCCGCCTTTCCCATTAGACCCGAAGTTTTGTGACCATCAACAGTCTAGCCTCTGTACCTAGCCCTGTGCCTGACTGCAGGGTACATGTCCAGTAAATATTTATTGAGTGACACAGTTTCAACCGTCTTTACTGAGTGGTAGATACGTTTAAACTTAAATAACATTTAATTGTTTGCCTCTCACATCAACTCTGTAAGGTAGGTGTTTTTAAGGTAGGCACAAATGGAGGCTCAGAGGGATTCTCGGACATACCTAAGGTCGCACACTGGTCGGTGTCAGGCGGGACTTCAACCCAAGTTCTAACTCCCATGCTCTCCCCATCACATCAAAAGCCGCCTGGCTCTTCCTGGGACCCTAAGGAAGGAGACAAGCGTCCCTTCCTCTCTCTTAGAGGCTTCTCTGGAATCTGAACTTGTTGTGGGGAAAGGGACATCCCAGACCGTGCTTCCTCCAAAACCAAGGGCGGGTTGTTCTTCCAACGCGTTCATACCATTCATTAGGCTCTAGCTTTCTTTTCATCTTGTAGAAATATTTTTTTAATTGTTGTAGATGATCCAAACAGTACAGAGGAGGTAAAGTAAAACCTGGCAATTCTGTGCCATCACAATGCTATGGGTTTTCATTTCGTACAAAGATTATTTTCTGTTTTCATAGGATAAATACTTCTAGCTGCTGTAACAAATTCTAAGTCTCAGTGAATGAACACAATAGCAGGCAGGGGTCGCGGGGAGGACAGTCAGCTCCACTCAGGCACTCAAAGGTCTAGGGTCCTGCCTTCTCATGACACTGCCTCTTCCTACACATGGCCTCAATTTGGGGATGAGAAAGAAGCCGAGCGAGTTGAGAAGTTACATCTGCGCATAAAAGCCTCAGCCTGGTAGTGCCATCTATTCCGCTCATATTCCACTGGCAAAAACTAGCAACATGATCTCCCTTACCCTCCCCTACCCACTCTGGGCACAGGAGGCTGGGAAATGTAGTTTATCTGTGTGCCCAGGAGGGATCAACAGGTGTGGTCATCAGAGCCAGTCTTTGACACATATACTACACATGTTATTATTATTTTTTTTTTGAGATGGAGTCTTACTCTGTTGTCCAGGCTGGAGTGCAATGGTGTGATCTCGGCTCACTGCAACCTCCACCTCCCAGGTTCACGTGCCTCAGCCTCCTGAGTAGCTGGGATTATAGGCACGTGTCACCATGCCTGACTAATTTTTGTATTTTTGGTAGAGAGGGGGTTTTACCATGTTGGCCAGGTTGGTCTCAAAGTCCTGACTTCAGGTGATCCACCCACCTCACTCTCCCAAAGTGCTGGGATTACTATAGATTGAACCACTGTGCCTGGCCTAATTTTTTTGTATTTTAAGTAGAGATGAGGTTTCACCATGTTAGCCAGGCTGGTCCAGAACTCCTGATCTCAGGTAATCCGCCTGCCTCAGCCTCCCAAAGGGCTGAGATTACAGGCGTCAGCCACTGCACCCGACCCACATGTTATTCTTTTGTCAGAAATGTGTTGTTCACTTTTTAATGATACAAGCAGAACCTGAAAGCATGCTGGTTATACACAGTTAAGTAAACAGAAACTTGCACTTCAGTTAACAATATAATCTAGACCTGCTGGCACGCTGGTTTAATGGACATACATATCGAGTGAGGTAGTCACCACATGCCAAGCACAGCGTCCTGCCAGGCACGTGGTGGGAGCTTCATCACACTGACCGGTATCATCACTACTGACACTCCTTTTACCAGCTATATCGCAGTCTACCAAATGGATGAACCATAATTGTTTCAGCTTTCTTTTAAAAATCTCTTTAAAACATACTGCAGTAGGCATTCTTAGACACATATATTTTTTCATACTTGTGCTGCTACTGGAAAGTTTCCTGGAAGTGGTCATATGTGAACTGGTAATTTCGTATATGTTGCAAAATTGTCCTGCAGAAAAGTCGGACCAATTTACAGTCCAATCAGTGATGAATGGTGGTGCCCATTTTCTTTATCCTTGGTAACGATTTTTATTATTACTCATTTAAATTTTTAATAGACTAGAATGTTTAAATTTACATTCCTAGGTCATCAGTGAGGTTGAGCATGTTTTATATATTTATCAGTTAATTGTATTTATTTTTAAAATTATCTGTTCATACCCTTCAACAGTTTTATCAGATTTTTGTCTTTTTCTTACTAACTTTTTGGAGCTGTTACTATTTATCCTTTGCTATTTGTGTTGTGAATATTTTCTCCTAGACTGTGGTGGTTTTTTAACTTAGTATTTATATAGTTTTCTTTCCTATACAATTCTACGTTTCCTGTTATGCTTAGAAACCCCTCCTAACCCCAAGGTCATTAACATAATCTCCTATACATTCTCCAGTTAATTCTATAGCAGTAACATTTGAATTTTACTTTAAATGTAATGTAAAATAAGTATCTAACTTAATTTTCATCCAAATGAATAACCAATTGTTCTAATAACATTTATTTAATGATCTGTATGTATTTTAGTCTGTTCTGTGCTCTTGTCAGTTTGTCTAGTACCACAATGTTTGTATTATAATAGGGTTTTAGTATATTTTAATATTTAACAAGGAAAGCCTTCTTCTTTGATTTTCTTTTTCAAAAGTTTCTTAGAAATTTTTCGAAACTTAATATTTCCAGTGAAATTTAAAATTATCTCATCAAGTTCCCCCCAAAAGTCCTGAAGGCATTGTGTATATAGATTAACCTAGGGAGGGCTGACATCTTCACAATAATGTGTCTTCTTATTTATGCACACAATATGCTTTCTCAGGTTTTTTTTTTTGTCCTAAAATAAAATCATAGGTTTTTTGTTTTTCTCTTATAAAGGTTGCATACATTTCTTTGAAATTTTATAGTTATTTGATACTTTTTGATGCTACCTAAATGGGATCAGTATCACAGTGTTTTGAATAAATGGAGACCTCTGAAATGTACCCCATGCAAAGAAAAATGGCCAAACTATGTGAACAAAAGATTCTTGGAAGAGGAAGCTCAGCCTCCCTTGTAGTGACAAAAAAAACCAAACTGACATAGTTTTTCTCCGTCAGACTGTTAAAAAAATTTTTTTAAAGACAGAAAACAAAACCACCTCCACCTACAAAAAGTGGGCATGAGGAAAAGTCGACCAGCACAGTTGTGGAGGATGCTTTGGCTACACCTATAAAAGTTCAGGTGCACATGCCTTTGACTTGAAAACCCGCTTCCGGGCTCCATACTAGAGAAACACCCTGACACAGGGCCTGGTCAGCAGTGTTCATTTCTGCACTATTGCACACATGTATGTCTGCAAAGTAAACCTGTGCTTCCAGTAGTTGCTGGTACTCTATGGGAAAATGGAAAAATAGAGCTGTGAAATCGTTGATTAAAATCACAGAAAGTCAGTTTTCCCTTTTGTCTCTTTCCCCAGCTGCTGAATTACATATTTTCTGTTTTTTAAGAGAGCTGTCTTCAAGAAAATATTTACCAGGCCACTCTCAAATGATCTGTTGTGAGCATCTCGTACTTTTCTAACAAATATTAATTTAGAAATAGGGTAAGTCCCACTGATCTTTCTATATAGATCAGAAAGACAAACCAAGAGAATGTTGTACGATTTCTTGGTGATTTTTGCAGGTCCGTATCTTTGCTTTTTTTTTTTAAATAAATAAGTCAACATAGAACTTAAGCTGCCATGTAATTTGCCTTCTGGACAAAGCACACTGTCCCTGCCCAGCCTTACTTCCTGCTCCTTGTGAGCACGAACGCTGAGCCCAGGCTCCCTCGGGCCCCTACCCACCTAGGCTGACTTGGGGCCTGCCCTCTGAAGCCTTCCTGGGACACCGCTCACTTAGCTACCCCTTCTCTGAACTTTGCCTGCACTGAGGTGGCACGCGGCACCGTGTGTTCACAATGCATTTCTCTCTCCCACTGTCCCCCTGCATCTGCCTTGTCTCCCCACTAGACCGCACACGCCTTCAGGGCTGCTTTGATCTCCCCTCAAGGTGAGGCTGGCCTAGGAACCTGGCATTTTTGGACATGCGGGATATTATGGGAGATGCTGTATTTCTGACACATCTGGTGGTTTCTTAAATGCTTTTTATCTCTTGCAGGTGGCAAAGAAACACAGCATGATGTTTGGAAATATAACTCTTCGATCAACAAATGGATTCAGATTGAGTATTTAAACATAGGCCGCTGGAGGCATAAGATGGTGGTGCTGGGTGGTAAGGTCTATGTGATCGGAGGCTTCGACGGCTTACAGAGAATCAACAATGTGGAGACCTATGACCCCTTTCACAACTGCTGGTCAGAGGTAGAGGAAATACTTTCTTTTCTCTTTTCTTTTTTTTTTTTTGAGAGGGAGTCTCACTCTGTTGCCCAGGCTGGAGTGCAGTGGCACGATCTTGGCTCACTGCAACCTCAAGTGATTCTCCTGTCTCAGCCTCCCGAGTAGCTGGGACCACAGGCGCCCACGACCGCACCCAGCTCATTTTTATATTTTCAGTAGAGATGGGGTTTCACCATGTTGGCCAGACTGGTCTTGATCTCTTGACCTCGTGATCTGCCTGCCTTGGCCTCCCAAAGTGCTTGGATTACAGGCATGAGGTATCGTTGTGCCCAGCCAGGAGATGATTTGTACGACTAACTGTCTGTATTATTACTTCAATGTTTTTTTTTTTTTTTTTTTTTTTTTCTAAAAAAGCTTGGGAATGTACCCACAGTGGTAGCCAGCTTTCTGATCACATTACTTCCGAGGAGAACATTTCTGGTGGCTCTGAGCTTCCCTCCCCCATACTTTTTGCTGATTAAGTCACAGAAACAATGTCTTCCAGGTGGTGAAGGTCTGTGTGGGCACCTGTCCTAATCCGGCCAGAGCCCCAGATGTGGGCAGAGGCTTACACTGTTGTGCATGGCAGCTCTCTTGGTCTCCATGTCCTGGCCTAGGGTCCTTTCTCCTCAGATGCCTTCTCTCCTATTCTTCTCTACACTGGACACGTGCAGATCACTTTACTACACTATTTGTGAACCCAGAGTTATTCTGTCATGTTAGAAATCATCCCCTCATTATTTTCTCATCCATGAAGAGCCACTTGCAGGCCTGCATGTCAGACTTTAGCAGCACAACCTCAGGTATATATCACACCAGGAAAAGAAAAGCTACCTGATCTCATTTCCAGGTTATTCCCAGTTTCCAATTTTCTTTCTCCTTATCAAATCAGATGTCCGAGCATGTCCCAGCTTAATGGAGAGTACAACCCCATCATTGCAGGCACAAGCAGAGGCAGCCAAGTCACCACATCATCTAGCCAAGACTGTCAGCCTGAAAAGTGCTATATGGATAGCTCTTAGCACTTACAGGGGACCTGCCCAAGATCTCCTCAAAACAAGTCCTATCCCAGAGCTGCTCCATGATGCAAAGTGTCATGTAACTGGGCAAGACGCTCCTTTAGTGTCCAGGGGTTCCCAGGGTAGAAGCACATGTCTGACTTAATCTCAAAAGCTTCAGTGTTGCCCTATAGTGGAAGAGCCCGCTTACCTGTGGCCACCTTAAACCCATATACCAGCTTTTCTTCCTAGACATAAGCATCAAGGAAAATCAATGCTGGTACACAGTAGGCACTCCATAAATATTTTTTGAGTGGACAAGCACATGAATTAATATGAACATGCATGTATAAAAAAATCATTTTCCTGGGCTGGGCGTGGTGGCTCACACCTGTAATCCTGACACTTTGGGAAGCCAAGGCAGCCGGATCACCTGAGATCGGGAGTTAGACTCCAGCCTGATCAACATGGAGAAACCTCGTCTCTACTAAAAATACGAAATTAGCCAGGCGTGGTGGCTCATGCCTGTAGTCCCAGCTACCTGGTAGGCTGAGGCAGGAGAATCGCTTGAACCCAGGAGGTGAAGGTTACAGTGAGCTGAGATTGCCCCATTGCACTCCAGCCTGGGCAACAAGAGCTAAACTCTGTCTCCAAAATAATAATAATAATAATAATAATAATTTTCCTCCAACATTGGCTGACTTCATCTGTATAAACTTATTCTTGCCTATCCTCTTCCTTCCCTGAGAGCTGGACTCTGGGAGAGGCTGGCACATGCCAGCACACAGCTTGCTCTAGATTGTGTGGAGCCTGCAGGGAGGGTGGGAAATACATGCTTTCATTCTCGCTGAGTCTTAAGAGGAGTGAAGCACAGGCGCCTTGTGACTTTAGGCAAAAGCTGCCCAGTTCTGTGTCCTGGAGCTCCGTCCTGCACCCTGGGAGCTACTGCAGCAACCTGGGCATCATGACTGACAGCTGCTTCTTGTGCCTTGTGCCTCCACAGGCCGCGCCCCTCCTTGTCCACGTCAGCTCCTTTGCAGCCACCAGCCATAAGAAGAAGCTCTACGTGATTGGGGGAGGGCCCAATGGGAAACTGGCCACAGACAAGACTCAGTGTTATGACCCTTCAACCAACAAGTGGAATCTGAAGGCGGCCATGCCAGTGGAGGCGAAATGCATCAATGCAGTGAGTTTCCGGGACCGCATCTATGTTGTTGGTGAGTAAGGGCTTCTTCTTTATCTGAATAGCTTAGAGCTGGATTCGTGCCTGGCTGCAGCACAGAAAGGGTGTGTCTCCAGCGCTGGCCACTCACTGCCCCTGGGACCCACTCTGGTTTTCAGAGGAGCCATTAATCTACTGTTTCTATTGGGAAGAGGGTAGACATGGCCTAACCAGAGCTGAGTTTTAGTGGTTAAGAGCGAAGAAGGCAGAAACTGGAGGGATGTCCACCTCTTCCCTCCCTGTCCTCAGGTGGAGCCATGAGAGCGCTGTATGCCTACAGCCCCCTGGAAGACAGCTGGTGCCTGGTGACCCAGCTCAGCCACGAGCGGGCCAGCTGCGGCATCGCGCCCTGTAACAACCGGCTCTACATCACTGGTGGGAGGGACGAGAAGAACGAGGTCATCGCCACCGTGCTATGCTGGGACCCCGAGACCCAGAGACTGACAGAGGAGTGCGTCCTGCCCCGGGGTGTGTCGCACCATGGCAGCGTCACCATCAGGAAGTCGTACACCCACATCCGCAGGATTGTGCCTGGAGCGGTGTCTGTCTGAGCGCAGAATGGGGAGCTGGGGAGCTGCTCAGACCCTCAGTGTGCCCGCTTCACCTCTTACCCTCCTCCAGCCCCACTTCAGGCAGCAGCCTCTAGTTGGAGGCTGTACGTCAGGGGCTCACTTTGGGGGAATCTTGGAAGTTGCAGTCTGGGGATACTTGAGACCAGCCAGAAATGTTTGCATGACCTACCTCAGAAGGGGAGGCGAGGAAGAGTAATTACATCTCAGGACCCACCTACCCTGTGCCAGCTCTGTGCGAGGCGCTTCCTTGTATCAGTTCATTCAGCCTGGTGGCTGGCTTTTATCACTTCTGGTTCCCTCAGTGAGGGATCCGAGTTCACAGAGGCTAAGTAGTGTCCTCTGGTCACTCAGCAAGTACAAGTACCTACCCCAGGAGTCTAAAACCCAGGTCTTTCAGCTTCGGAGTCAATGCCCTTTCCACCATGCTGCCTATCTCAGAGCAGGAAAAACCAAATACCAAAAACCAAACCTGGTTCATCCTGGGCGCGGTGACTCACGCCTGTAATCCCAGCACTTTCAGAGGCTAACTTGGGGGGAATCACCTGACCAGCCTGGTCAACATGATGATCCCGCCCCCATCTCTACTAAAGATAGAAAAATTAGCCAGGTGCAGTGGCAGGCACCTGTATTCCCAGCTACTTGGGAGGCTGAGGCAGGAGGATCACTTGAACTTGGGAGGTGGAGGTTGCAGTAAGCCAAGATTGGCCCACTGCACTGCAGCCTGGGTGACAAAAGTGAAACTCTTGTCTCAAAAACAAAAACAAAAAATCTGGCTCATTTCTTGCTTCAGCGAGTCTGCTAAAGATTCACTCAGCAAGGCAGGGAAATAAAGGCGTTTCCTGTTTTCTTTCCTTTTCTTATTCTGCATCCCCCCTCATCCCCCTCCTTTACCAAAATTTAAACCAAGGAGTCATTTGGGCTCCTTGTGAAGAACATCTCATAGGTTCTTCCACTTGAAAGGTCTGGGGGGATGGGCTTGGGAAGGCCTGTTTGCTTTGAAAGAGATGAAATACTTGTGTTCCATCCTCCTCCCATTGAAAGCCTTTCACTCTGTCACCCAGGCTGGAGTGAAGTAGCATGATCTTGGCTCACTACAACCTCCACCTCCCGGGTTCAAGTGATTCTTCTGCCTCAGCCTCCCGAGTAGCTGGGATTACAGACACCTGCTACCATGCCCAGCTAATTTTTGTAGTTTTAGTAGAGACAGTGTTTCACCATCTTGGCCAGGCTGGTCTTGAACTCCTGACCTCGTGATCCACCCACCTCAGCCTCCCAAAGTGCTGGGATTACAGGCGTGACCCACTGCGGCTGGCCTTTTTTTTCTTTTAATAATCATAAGATGGCCCATTTTGGACCAGAACTGTCATTGCCAGACAGAATTGTCCCTTTAGCATGGTCTGGTGCCCTGGCCTCTTAGCGTCCACCAGTCATACTGTAATGTAGCAAACATGTTTTAGAGACTCAAACTACTGTGTTATGTAAAAAGTACACACCTGAACACAGCTGGCCTCCGCAGGAATGACGGATGAACTTGCTGGTTTTTAGACAGTGATTGAGACCCGTGTCCTGATACCCCATCCTCCTGAAACCTTAGTTTTCAGGACTTTTTAAAAAGCACTTCTACTTGGTTTTTTAATTAGTGTAGCTCAGCTGTGACTTAAAAGAACAGAATCTGTCCTTCACTGTAAGAGTTAGAGCTCTGAAATGAGCTCACTGGAAATTCCTTCTAATCCCCAAGCTGGAGAAACAAGTTAAGAGATCCTGTTTCATATGCTGTATTTAAAAAGCAACAATGATAGCGACATAGTGCCTGCATTACCCAGTGGACTTTATTTTCACCTATGATTTCAGTTCTCTTTATAGAGTTTATTTCATAGCCAGAGCGGCCTGATCCTCTCAGCAGTTTGGGAAGTTAGAGTATTGGAGTTGACAGTGAATTTAATTTTCATTAAAAAGTCACGGTTAGAAGCTAGTATCTGAAACAGATTTTAAACCCCTGGAAACTTAGAGGTGAGATTTCTGTTTATGCCAGATTGTTGAAGATAAATATAAATGTGTATTGGTGTGTGAAAGGCTCTTGCCTTAAAGGCATGACAGTTCAGCTCTCTGCTGTGAAAAGTAAGACAGAGCAATATAAGCATACTTGTGGAAATTTAGGACAAACTATCACTTACTCATGAGCACTGTAATAACCATCACAGCTGCCAATGCAAGCAATGTCATCTAGGTCAGTTCAGCAAACATTCATGGAGTTCTTCATGTTTTTCAAGCCTTGAGGACACCAGTGAATATCAAATCTCCATGCTAGTCACTAATACGGAAAAATAGGCCACTAGTTATATTCTTGTTTTTCTTTTCTTCAAGTTAGCTAAAATTAGGTCATATGAAGTTATGAGGCTGGATCCAAGTCTCGATTGCCTCAAAGGGTCAAGGTGGTAAGCAGTGCAGGAAAGTCAACCAGTGGCCACTGCTTACATGTTTGTCTTTCCAAGGTCGCCACCAGAACCATTTGTGAACTACAGGAAAAAAATCAGTGTTGCTCCAAACACTACTGCAGGGAGGAACTTCTGGAGATGGCGGTATTGGCACACACAGCGAGCCTCCCCTCAAAAAGAGCGCGCTCCTTGTCAGGGAGCGGCTGGCAGGCCTTCGATAAGACCGATTGGCAAACTTCGAGCCCATCAACAGGTCAACCCTATACTGAGTTAGGTCAGTTCAGGTCACTCCTATACTGGGAAAGTGAGGATTTGGAATTTCTGTGCTCTAAACCTGATTGTAAATGTAGGACCCAAGTTTTTGGACTACTTCAGAATACCTACATGAATCATGGAAGCAGTTTTTATGATTTCTTATGGCACCAGATATGCAGGTGAATTGCGGAAAATTTCATGTAGCTGGCACCAAGCAATAGGGATTCCTAATGATGGCATGGGGTAGGGAACAGACACACCTATTTACAGGGTTCTGTACTTGAAGCTGCCCTTGAACTCAAAGCCAGTCTGTAGCTCTTAGAGAAAGTAAGTTCAAGTCATTTGGGGGAAACTTAAGTATAGTCATCAGGGTTTTGGTTTCTAGGCACTTGCCAGGGATGAGAGCTTCTAAAATCTGAAATCCATTCCAAGAAATAAAGACAAACACATTTGCAGGAAGGTAACTGTTATCACCCACACCGTCAGTTGGGGGAAAGCCAAGCTGGGAATTAACCCAGAGACAGAGAGCCCTCAGACTCGGGCAGGACGTGGCAGGGTGTTCCAGCACAGCAGGCTGGATAAGGCAGATCCTAGGAGTGGATCGAGCGCCCCAGGCTGGGAAGACACAGATGGGGTAGGAGGAGGTCAGGTTCCAAGGATGATATGAGGGGCCCTGGAGTTTGTGAACTTGACTCTAGTCCCAAGAAGGGTAAGGGAGAATTCCAGGCAAGGAAATAAGGAAGGAATCCACTTTTTAGAGCAGAGGCACAAGTTGGAGCAGGCTCAGCATTTGGGCCCACTTGCTGTGGGGCCTCTGAGCTGCTCAGCTGGGTCTCCTGTCCTAGAGAGAAGGTGGCCCAGAGTTGTGGTGGAGCAGAATCTGTAGATGAGGTGAAGGGACCCTGGTTGCCAAGGCTAATCTAAAACAGCAGGGAGCTAAGCTCATCACAACACCAACAGGTTCATGTTCTTAGCTTTCATCTATTCTGATCTCAGTGGCTTCAGGAAACACACACATACACCATGCCCTTGAACTCAAAGCAAACTATGCACTCAGGGAAATACAAATATCATGTTCTTATAGCTGTAAAGTATAGCTTAGCTGTTTATAGAAGTTGTTGAGGTACTGTTGTTATTTACTTAGCCTGTTTTATTTTGAAAAATAAATGTACTCAATAGAATTTTAAACTTTGTAAACACCACAGGGATTTCTTGTGTAAGTCCCAACGTGGGTTTGCAAACTCATTTTTTCCCTTGGTATCTAGGTGTTATATTACATCTCGTAATTTTAAGAGTCAATCTTTATAGAAATCCACACATATCCAAATATGGCTACTGCAAAACCAGTTTTGACAGGTCAGATTTTCATATGTAGCGGCATAAATAGTCAACACTCAGTGAACAAAATCCTTTAAGCATTTTGGTTACATAAAGTTACATAAAGTTGTGTATTTTAGGTGATCAAAGAAGAAACTATATTGTTTATAGGTTTTAAAAACCAACCCAATAAAGTTTTTATTTATTCAATAAAATATGCACAGAATGGCTGAAAATGTGCTCTATACAATCACAAGGTGATTTTTTTTTTTTTTGCTGTTTTTGGTGTATATAAATAAGTCGTGTCTGAATAAAAATTAATTTAGAGAACAGAAATTTAAATCAGTTCAGTCGGTTCAAGGGGTTTTAGGTAAGTTCATAGGTTAACATTCACCAGGCTTGATTTCTAAAATGTCACAGAGTAGACAGCGTTTCCCTCCCTAACGATGCATTGCCTGGCTGAGCAAGCTTTCACCAACCTATATGCAAACTGTGTGACTCTCCTCTTGTCCGGCCTCACCTCTTCTTACTGGAGACCCCATCTAGGCTTTTGATCTTGGGTCTGCCTCTCAGCTCACCTCCACCATGGCTCCTGTGTTGTCTCTGAAGCCCTCCCTCGTCTGTGCTTCTCAAATTGGGACACACGTAACTTGGGGTATGAGACTTCCCTCTGACCACTGGAAACCTTGTCATCAATTTAGTTTGCTTTGGTTGCAATGCAAGAGTCCTATGTATCCGAAAAGGAAAATTGAGGTTTTAAAGAAATCTGGGGTTCCAGGAATAGCTTCAGACCTTTCCCTCTGGGCCTCCCCAGAGGTAGCTGTTCTGCCTTAAGAGTTCTTGGTGGAAACCTTGGGAAGCACAGGCCCAGCTCCCTCACTGGTTGGGGGGTATTCTGGGGTGATCTTGGGCTCCGGATCTGACTGCCAGAGCACCAGCTGTGAGTCCAGCGGAATTCTGACCTTAACTTTGCTGCTGAGCCTTCCAATTACCCCACTGGGTCTAAGTGATAATGTCATGTCTGGGCAGTTTGGCTGGGACCAGGCATCTGCCCAGCTTGTCTTGGCACCTCCCAGTGCACCTGCTGCTCCCTGCTGGTGTGTGGCACCTCCTACACCAGCCTCCTTTTCACTGGATGTGCAGCCTTCATACAGGATCCCAGTTCTCTCCTGGCCCTCCGGAGGCCCGTGCCTCATTTTCCCACCCTGCAGGTGGCCATGCTTGAAGACTCAGTGTTAGGGACGAACCCAGGCCTGGCCCCCATCCCCAAGCTCCCTGCCCTCGGCCTGCCTGCTTACCCGTCACCCTGCTTTTCACTTCCATGTTTGTATCCCGGCACCTGGGGATCTTCCTTTTCTTTCCGTGTGTTCAGATACTTGCTTTGCTACCTATTCCTGCATGAAATGCTGCCTTGAAACCCACGTCAAACCATCTCTACTCATCTGCCTGGATAGAGAGTATGCGACTTCCTGGTTACAAAGTCTTTAGGAAAGGTAAACCAGGTAGAGGGAAAGGGGGTGGCCTCTGATGTGTAAGACAATTGGAAGTCTCCCTTCAAACATGAATCCGGTTCCTCCACATCTGGCAGTAGAAGCTTCCAGTGGGTACAGAAAGTTGGACATCATAGCCCTCATGCTTGTCCCTGTAAGGAAAGATTCCTGGATACAACTCTTCATTTAATTTCCTAAGGGACATCTGGAAACAGGCTGGAACAGTTAAATAAAATTTTACTTGTGACTGAGAGATGACACAGAGGATAAACACAGGAAGGGAAGACACTCTAGGTTCAGAGGAAGGCAAGAATCAGCTACCCTGAGAAGCAGCGTTTGTCCTGAGAAGACAAATGTGTGTGTGTGGGTGGGGGGGGGGGGTGCCGTGTGTGTGCATGTGCAGGTGCGTGTGCATGTACATGTATGTACATGCTTTAAAAATAAAAATGAACAAGCCACACATTAGTTTAAGCAGTGAAAACAGATTTTGTTCAGTAACTGCTGACAGTAGGGGAAAGAGCTGAGCCCCATTCTGATTTGTGCGGAGGTGATGACTGGGCCTTTTAAAGGGAGAATGACGAGTCGGGAGGTGGAGCCAGCAGGGTTCAGGTAGAGTCAGGGAAGTGAAAGATTACAAAGCGTTGGGCAGTGTCAGAGTGATGAGGCCAGCTGTGTCTGCTAGCTGGCAGTTCTCCAAGCTAGGATCCTCTTCTGGAAGCTAGGACCCTCTTCCCCGACGGAGCCTGCGAGTCAGAGGCTCTGTCCTTCCTGATAATGACCTTGAGAGGAATGGCTTTCAGGTCCTTGAGAAAGACACTCCTGAGCTGTAGGCGACACATACACAGTAGCTCAGAGCCACAGAGGAAGGATTCACAACGGTGGGCCTCCTTTTTTAGCAAATGCTCTAAAAAAGGGTGGTCAGGGGCCTATTGTCAGATGCTGGAGAAACAAACTCAGTTCTTTTGACAGCCTTAAGCTTTTCCAGACAGCAACTGGAAAGGGGGCTGGGTCAGCCCTGGGCCGTGGCCTCAGGTTGCCAGAGGCCATGTTATAGTTTTGTGGAGTCTCTGAGGGCAGGGTGTGAGATACAGTTGAAAGAACAGGCGTGCCCACCACCTACACTGCTGTTGGCAGCATTTTAAAAGAGTACTGACCATTCTCTACAACCCACCATGGGCCCACTGTGGCAGGCCAGGAGTGCCGCAACCCCTCCCTCTAGAATCTGTTGAAGACAGCTAAAGAGAAAAATAGTACTAAAGCTTCTTTGACCCATGCAGACCAGAGCAGTGCGTTGAAACTCTCTTGAACATGTATCAAAATAATAAACACATTTTCTGTATTTCCTGTTCTATTTTTTTCTTAAAATGCTGTTCACAATCCATCAAGTTTATTTCATCACCCACTAATGTGTCACCCAAATCCGAAAGGTACAAGGTGGAAGGCATTGAGCTGGGCACACAGGGCAGCGGTGAGGGGAAAGGAGGCTGGCAAAGCCTTGTGGAATAGTCTATTTCTTTTCTTTCTTTTTTTCCAAGATGGAGTCTTGCTCTGTCAGCCAGGCTGGAGTGCAGTGGTGCAATCTCGGCCCACTGCAACCTCCGCCTCCTGGGTTCAAGCGATTCTCCTGTCTCCGCCTCCTGAGGAGCTGGGATTACAGGCATGCATCACCATACCCAGCTATTTTTTTTTTTTTTTTGTATTTTTAGTAGAGACAGGGTTTCACCATGTTTTCCAGGCTGGTCTGGAACGCCTGACCTTGTTACTCACCCACCTTGACCAAAGTGCTGGGATCACAGATGTGAGCCGCCGTGCCCAGCTAGTCCATTTTCATATGCTATGAAGAAATACCCGAGACTGGGTAATTTATCCAGGAAAGAGGTTTAATGGACTCACAGTGCCACATGGCTGGGGAGGCCTCACAGTCATGGCAGGAGGCAAAGGAGGAGCACAGGCACCACTTACATGGCCTCAGGCAAGAGCGCATGTGCAGAGGAACTGCCCTTTATAAAACCATCAGATCTCACTTGTTCACCATCAGGAGACCAGCATGGGTAAAACCCGCCCCCATGATTCAATAACCTCCCTCCCGGTCCCTCCCACAACACATGGGGATTATGGGAGCCACAATTCAAGATGAGATTTGGGTGGGGACACAACCAAGCCATGTCACCTTGATTTACCAAATTGGTGCTACATAGAAGGCAGAGGGAAAAACGTGATTGTACAGAGAAGTCTATAATTCTGACCTTAGATAAACAGGATTTTTGTGGGTAAAATTCTATTCTTTCATAATAAAAATGTAGTAAAAAGAGCATCTATTGAGTAATTTCCCAGAAACACGAGACCAAGCCAGAAATAGGAAAAAAAAAAAAAAAAAAAAAAAAAGATTATGACAGTGATGAAACTCATCTAGGTAGAAACGCTGAGGTTTTTAATTGTCAAAGTGTTTTCTAGTAGAATCTCACATTCCCGGAAAAGGTCACTGGAGGAATCTGGAGGAAAAATGATGTCTTAGACTTTGTTCTAAGTAGACATTAGTGAAAGAAGGAATGGGATGAGTCTTCATGAAGCAATGCAACAAATATTCAGAGGGCCTACTATGTGCCAGGCATGATTTTTGCCCATCTGTGAGCAAAACAAAGGCCCTGCTCGCATGAGCTAACATTCTAGCAGAGAGAGAGGCAAGAATGAAACAAGCACAGGATATAATGTCATGCAGAGAAAAAAGGCCAAAGAACAGGAACTCAGGGAAAGGGTGACGCACGCTACTTGAGCTAGGATGAGCAGAGGTGTCCTTTCTGATAGAGACACTTAAATAGAGGCTTGAGGGAAGACACATTGAGAGGCCCCAGAGTGTCTGGGGAAGCTTACTCCAGGCAGCAGGAAGAGCTAACGCAAAGGCTCTGAGGCAGGAGGCACTTTCTTGGTATTTAAGGAACAGTCATGGCTGGGTGCAGTGGCTCATGCCTGGAATGAGTGTCAATCTGCACTTCAGGCCAAGGTGGCAGACCACTTGAGGTCAGAGTTTGAGACCAGCTGGTCAAATGGTGAAACTCCATCTCTACTAAAAACATAAAAAAATTAGCCAGTCATGGTGGCACATCTATAATCTCAGCTACTCGGGAGGCTGAGGCAGGAGGATCGCTTGAACCTGGGAGGCGGAGGTTGCAGTGAACCAAGATTGAACCACTGCACTCCAGCCTGGGTGACAGAGTGAGACTCTGTCTCAAAAAGAAACAAAAAAAGTAACAGTCAAAAGGCCTGTGTAGCTGCAGTGAATTCATTCAGCGCCATGGTAGGTTCAGAGGCCTCCATAAGCACTTTGAATGTCATCAGAGTAGGGTGATAGCTCTTAAGACAAGTTCAGAAATGCTAAAGACTCATAAATCTTCCACACCCAAGCTTGCAGCTTGCAAATCCAAGTCAGCTATGTTTGCAGAAGGTGGTTAACCGCAAGGAATTGCCACCCTGAGCCCAATGTTAATCCAACGTATACTGAGTTTGTTTTCCAAATCCATGCTCTGTCCTGGCCACTCCTATTACGGTGGGCTGGGTCTGGGCCTCCAAACTGCCTAGTCACACACCCTCGGGGTGTGGAGGCAGCCTCTCCAGGAGCTATGATCCTCCCCTCATTCCCCGTGTAGGTGGAAGGCAGTACTCTGATCATATGACTGCTTATCCATTCAGCATCCTGGTGGTAATGGAAACATCAGTGCTGGTGTTAGTGGGGGTGAGCAAAAGGGGACAAAAGTCAGAAGCCTTAAATTAGTGGCCCAGTTAATTTTTGAAAATATCTGATTGGCAGCCTAAAATAATGTGAACTGAGATTCAGCACACTGAAAAACAAATTAATAAAAATTTCAATGGCTAAATGCAAAGCAACAAACTATTTTTAAAACCTGGCTGGGCGTGGTAGCTCACACCCATAATCCCAGCACTTTGGGAGGCTGAGGGAGGCAGATCACAAGATCAAGAGTTCAAGACAGCTGGCAGGGCACGGTGGCTCAAGCCGGTAATCCAAGCACTTTGGGGGGCCAAGGCGGGTGGATCACAAGGTCAACAGATCGAGACCATCCTGGTCAACATGGTGAAACCCTGTCTCTACTAAAAATACAAAAAATTAGCTGGGCATGGTGGCATGTGCCTGTAATCCCAGCTACTCAGGAGGCTGAGGCAGGAGAACTGCCTGAACCCAGGAGGCGGAGGTTGCGGTGAGCCGAGATCGCGCCATTGTACTCCAGCCTGGGTAACAAGCATGAAACTCCGTCTCAAAAAAAAAAAAAAAAAAAGAGTTCAAGACAAGCCTGGCCAATATGGCGAAACCTCATCTCTACTAAAAGTACAAAAGATTAGCTGGGCATGGTGGTGGATGCCTGTAATCCCAGTTACTTGGGAGGCTGAGGCAGGAGAATCACTTGAAACCAGGAGGCAGAGGTTGCAGTCAGCCGAGATTGTGCCACTGCAGTCCAGCCTGGGTGAAAGAGCGAAACTCTGTCTCAAAACAAACCAACCAACCAAAAACACCTGTAAAAAATGTGTGGCGATTCAGATGCAAGCTAGAAATCAGGTGCTGAAATTGTTGTTTCCAATTTTAGAGATTTCATCTTCCTGGGAGGTGGGCAGCAATCCTTAGTAGGAAGAAAGCCTGAAGATGTGCTGAGGGTTAGAAAAGGGATCTGTTACCTCCATTCTAAGTCACCTCATCCGAAAGCAGAGTAATCACAGACTATGCCTCAGGGAGTCTGGGTGAGGATTAGCCGAGATCACACAGGTGGAATGCTTAGCTCATCGGCTGACAGATTGTAAATGTGCCGCACGTGTTAGCTGCTGTAACTGTCCTTACTTGACTGAAGGCCCATGGGACTGAGGGCTATTTTCTTGCTGGTGTTTGTATCTACAGCACTTAGCACAGTGCCAGGTACACAGTGACACTCAAAGAATGTTACTACGTCAATACTTGTCAGGAGTAACATATGGGTAGCATTAGGGTGGGGGTCCTGAGAAGCTGCCACCGCAGTAATTACCACTACCATTATTTATTTATTTATTTTTTTGAGATGAAGTCTCGCTCTGTCACCCAGGCTGGAGTGCAGTGGCGTGATGTCAGTTCACTGCAACCTCTGCCTCCTGGGTTCAAGCAATTCTGCCTCAG